AACTTTGGAATTGTACTATGAGGGCATCTAGCTGCTGTTGAAGAGGAATTACTCAGCCTGAGCCCAAGAAGAGTCAGTCTTCTCAAGCCAACAGACGTTCCTGGGGGCTGACAGTGCCAGAAGCACGTGCTGGAAAGAGCTTCCCCCTTTCTCTCATTTACCAGGTTTGCTCCACTTCCCAGACCACAGTTTAAAAAGTAGAAGCAATCCCTGTAACTATAATGGCTCTTCAGGTATTTTTGGTATGCCTTTCCTTAGCAGAAAAGCTTGTGCATAAAGACTCACATTCTCATAAAGCAAACAAGCTCAACCTCTTCTAAAACCAATTGTATCTAGAGTCTGGGCAGAGACAAGTTTTAACAGGGAAGGACACCCTCCAAAGACTGGCAGTGTATTATTTGTACCATTTTACCTTCTGGAAACATGAATCTGATTTCTCTTTCTGCTGTGGAAATGCTGCGACTGCCATGAAGCCCATTCCTCAGGTCATCAGTCCCATAGATTGCTCTTAAGCTAAGAACAAGAAAAGTAACTGCTTGGTAGGCAATTGAAAATCCCTGCCAGGAGCATATAAAATCAATGTATATGGACTAATTAACAAGGCATTGGCTTGATCTTGGCTTTAAACAAAGTAAGTAGCTATCTAAAATGTATGTTTATGCACTCAGCATTCCCCATTAAATGGGTGAACTTTGCATACTAAAGAACAAAGGTGAAAAGTTTTCAGTCTAAAGTGACTCCAAATCTGTATCTCTAACATAAAACCAAAAAGGAGAGGAATTCTAGCCTCAATTGAGAGAATTACAAGACCCTGCTGGCTTCCCAAGGCCAATCCATGAGTTACCTGTAAGGATGCGTTATCTTAGCTCTTATGCTGTTTGATGGTCCAAGCAGTTCTTTCCAGTATGAGACTGCACAATATCTGGCAAGAACCATAGCAACTATTGGTCCAGAACTCATATAGGCTGTTAAATTAGGAAAAAACATTTTTCCATATTGGTCTGCATAAAAGTTGCTACATTGCTCTGGGCTTAACTGCAGCTTTCGCTTCTAGAAAGTGGAAAAGAGAAACAAAGAATTAACAAAGGCTTGCTAAATGAAGAGAGTTTGCTACCTCAGATACAGTCCTGTACTGTGTCACATCTTCAAATGCAGGAGAACAGACACAGAGCCATTTCCCAGCCTAATTTGATTCTCCAAGATCTGATCCTCTTCAAGACACAGAGTAACAAAGAGCAAGAGTTTTCCAAGTTAATTAAGTGGACAAATAGGCTGTTTGAATAAGGTGTGCTTTTGGCCTACGCAAACTACAGCATTTTATAACTGTTGGATGACTTAAAGCACAGTCAGAGCACCGCACAGAGAAAGTGAAGAGCATTACAAGGGCAGGATTTAATTATTCGCCTGCTCCAGCGTAATGTTCTACTTTTAAAACATTTTCTCCTCTGCCCACACTGGTACTTATGCAATTGTTCTATTTTTCAGGCTTTCTGAGTCTCACAATAGCTACCTACCCACATGTGGCCAGGATTAGGACCAGGACTAGGTTTGGGAGGTTATCAGTAGGAACAGGGCAGTCAAGAAGAGAGAATTTAGAGAATTACTGTGAAGTTCATTCTTTGAGCCTGAACTGGTGCAGCACAAGAGCACCATGAATTCTGATTCCTAATGACTTTGGTGGCAAAAGTCACTGCAGACGTCAGAAGATGCTATAAACACCTTGTCATTAAAAATAAAAAAAAAAAAATTAAAAAATCTCTTTTTTTTTCTTATGTTTTGTATAAATAAAAAAGGGAAGAAATTAAAAAAGAAGTAATACGGAAAAGCGGAATTTGAAGAATAAGAAAAAATACTGCATTTCCAGGGAAAAGAAAGAAAGGTGGAAAAGGAGGGGGGGAAAGGAAAGGGGGGGGGGGGAGGGAGAGAAAAGGAGGGTGAAAAGGAAGGGTAGGGAGGGGGAAAAAAGGAGAAAAATGGGAAAAAATGAAAGAAAAGGAAGTAATAGAAAAAATGGGGGAAAAATGGGGAAAAGGGGGACAAGAAAAGGAAAAAGAAAGGAAAAGGGAAGGGAAAAGGGAAGGGGAAAGGGAAGGGGAAAGGGAAGGGGAAAGGGAAGGGGAAAGGGAAGGGGAAAGGGAAGGGGAAAGGGGGAAAGGGAAGGGGAAAAATAAGGGGAAAAAGAAGGGGAAAAAAGGGGAAAAAGAAGGGGAAAAAGAAGGGGAAAAGGAAGGGGAAAAAGAAGAAGAGAAAAAAAAGAAGGGGAAAAAAGAAGGGGAAAAAAGAAGGGAAAAAAGAAGGGGAAAAAAGAAGGGGAAAAAAGAAGGGAAAAAAGAAGGGAAATGGGAAGGGAAAAAGAAGGCGCTGCTTTGCGCAGTCACGGGCGAGGCCGGCGGCAGGAGCGGGGGCACAGCGCCCTCCAGCGGCCCGCCCGGCTGGGCAGTACCCGAGCTCGGCACTGGCGAGCCCCGGCGAGCGGCGGGGAGCGCCTCCTGGCTGGCACCGGGCAGCGCAGGCGGGGCTTGGCCGTACAGGCCATGACCACCGGCACAGTGACACAGCGGTGTACGCGCTACTTGGAAGAGTCTGCATCTCTGCGGCGTGTGTTTGCTAAAGCCTGTTGACAAAGCCTGTGTTTTCTGTGTCAGCAAAAACATCGGTGTGGTCTGTCCGTTCCATGCGGCAGTAAAATGGAATCTGGCAGCAGCGGTTGATGATGTGAAAAATGTAAGTTCATTTTTAATCACTTGCTTAACTGCTAAAGTCTTGCTCTGACTTACAAAGTGCAGTTATTTCCTCTAGAGCCTGTTACCTGAAGGATCATGAATCCCGACCTGAGGATGACATCCTCTATTTCTTCTTCTTTACGAACAACATCTGGTTTGATGATGGCCAGAGTTCTTTCCACAAAAACCTGAGGTTCGGGCGTTAACATCTGCATCCTGGCTTCTAAACTGGACGTCATGTGCCCTTTTCCCACTGCAAGGACACCAGGGCAGGAGTTTCACTGTGTAAGAGCAGAGAGGGTCACCCCCATGCCACAAAAGCCATGTGAGGTTTACTCTGGGTTAGTTAGCTCTGTAGTTCCCACTCCCATTTTTCAGTGCAGAAGCACTTTGTGGAAAAGAAGCCAAAAGTTCAGTGTTATTATAGTTATATATTCAGTGTAAATAAGATGTAAACTGCTCTAACATTTCACTAGGACAATACATGAGATAGTGTTATCACACACCTTGCTGCGCACATCCCCATCCTCCAACTGTGTGTTCCCACCCCAAATCTGTGTTCTCTTGCCCGCAGGTTGTGGTGTGGGATGTACTACCCAGAGCTAGTCCATCTGTAAGCCCCAGGGGACTTCTTGTTATTTAATTCCTGTATTTATGGACTCAAAATCCAGTTTTCTGAGGCCATTAGGAAGCTATCAGCACACAGAATTGTTCTGTGATCAGCAGAACTAGTGCAGATAGGCTCCCCATGGACCTGTGAGCACTTGTGACCTCCTCTTCCCCCTCGCCCCTTCACCTCCGTGCTCCCAGCCCCACATCTCTCCCCACCTGCACCCCACAAGACACGGTACACAGCCAGCCGCTGGCTCCCTGCTGCAGAAACCGATGCAATTACTCAGCTAACCCTCTCTTTTAGATCTTTTGGAAAGATCTAAAGCGGTCTTTCCTGTACCTGTACTTTGGAGGCTCCCCGTTCTCTTTCAAATCTGGCTGAACAGACTGCAGCCGCCATCAGGGAGGAAGGCGCACAGGACCGCGGGGCTGCCTTTACCTGCGCACCGGGCTAAAGGCACCCACGGCCCCCGGCGGCACAGACTGCAACAGAGACCCGAAGGAGCGGCTCTCCCTTCCCCTCAGACCCCTCCCCGCCTGCCCTGAGGGAGCTCCGCCCGCCCGGTCCCCCCGCCAGGCCTAACCCGGGCCCACGCCACGCACCCTCTCGCTCCACCGCCGTTGCTAGGCGACGGCGAGGCCGGCTCCAGAGCGGCCACAAGATGGCCTCCGCGCCCCTCGGCTGTGCGCCGGGCAGGGGGAGGACCCAAGATGGCGGCTGGGGAGCTGACAGCAGGAGGCTGACCGCCCCAGGGCGGATAACTGAGGGTCACATCTACGTGTTCATGAGCACCTTGTGGGACACGGGAATAAGGAAGGGAGCAGCGGGAGCGCGATAAAAGCCGTATTTCTCTATTTTGACAAAGGTTTATGTTGGTTTTACCTCACACACAGGGCTGCTGAGGGAGTCTCACAGCAAACGTTCATAAACTGAGGTAGCGCTTTGTGTTGAAGAAGATGCACAAAAGGCCTTCTTCGGGGTATTTAAATATTAATATTTATCGCAGGAGCGTGCCTGAGGTTTCCTGTTTACATGCCTGATTGACACCAGCGGGATCAGCGTACAGCACGCAGCCTTCTGGCACAGCAGACACACTAACCTGAATCTGTAGCTCTCCAATGTTGTTTTGCAGTGTTTTTTGTTGATTTCTCTGTGCGGGTGTCTACTCAGAGCTACTTACCACAAAAACAAACACATAATAAGTAAGAAACAGTTGCTATTTTCCAGGTTAAACCATAATGAGGTGAACCACGGAGCTGGGGAAGCTTGGTTCCTGTGGATCTCTACCAGCCTCCACCACCACTGTGCCAGTGTTTGCTCCCAGAACACTCCCTATTTCCCCAGCTCTCCAGGGCTGCTCCTACTTGGAGCAATTACAGTGCAGTCCCTGCACACCCGATGTGCTCATCCATGCCATAGCCGAGCCCGTGGCCTGGAATCCCAAGGGCTGGGTGCTCAGGTATCCGCAGCCCCGCTGCCGTCCGCTCTGTTTGCTGGGGCTGAACGCGGGCCAGCTGGCCCTGCGCTATCGGGTGTGCAGCGGCACCGATAACTGCGCCACGCTCCTCCTCATCCCCTCTTAGTGCCCATTTATCACAAGTCGAGGGATCCGAGGTGCTCCCGACACCTCTGGCCTGCTCCTGAACTCAAGTTCACCAATGAACACAAGTATATCGGCTTCAATTTTTACTGAACTCAGACTGAAAGTAAAGGAGAAATCCCCCAAACCCCCACACTTTAAGAGCCACAGATGCTGACATTGTACCCTGGTTAGCAGAGGAAAGAGCAAATGCTGTTTATAGTGTAAGAAGAATCCACTTTGCCTTTATCTTCTTCATGAGTAATGTAAATAATGTGGAAATAGAAATGAGAAACAAAACTATTTCCTTGCAGCCACTTTGGAAAAAAATGGAAAAAAACTATTTCCTTGCATATTCCAGTTTGGAATATGTTTGAAATGCAAAGGCTGAAGTCTTTATTCGCATACCTTAAAAACCAAATAAAGGTCCTGAGTGTACAAGATGGAGTAATTCAGATGCAGACTTTGTTCACTGATACAGGCACTTGGTGTTTCTTCCATAGGGATACCTTGTACAGTATGGAATCTGAAGACATTATGAACACTGCAAGGACACAGAGATAATGGATAACATTTAAAAGTATTAAACAGAAAGGCTGATGGAAAGAGTTCACCATTTTGTTTTAGTTCAGTTCAGAGTTCATTTAGGAAGATGATTTCATTTCAAAGTCAATGAGCACCAGTCTGACAGCTTGGATTTTAATTCAAAGGCTTCCTCAGCCTGGATGAACGCTTCAGAATTGTGATTACATAAGAAATGCTGAATTTAATATCCGTGTAAAACACTGCTTCATCTCCTGCAGTTTCTTTATTGTGGGCATGCTTTATTCAGCTAACCAAGCTAAGAAATCAATCTCTGTGTGCCTTTGGATGCTGCAGCTTAACCGGGAGTAGGGTTCTGTGCGCTCTGCCCGCACCAAAGGCCCTCGCTCTGTGTCAGGGTTTGGGCTCCTCCTCGCTGTTTCCAGAACCATTTCTGGAGGGCGGAGATTGTCTAATTTTAGTACCTCGGAGAATCCTCTGCTCTCCAATGAGCGGGCGGCTGCATCTGGAGCTGCAGCCAATGACACCGGGCTTCCTGCGGCTTCTCTTCCCACGATGGTTTAATAATGCAGCCTTGCGAATTTAAAGTGGCCCCGCATGTGAAGAGAAAATACCCTCGTGTGTCCCCTAACGACGACACTGTCTTTTTACAGTAGTAGGGTTCTTCTAAAGCCTCGGATTCCATAAACTTGACTTTGCAACCCTGTGTTAGCATCGTTATCTTGTTTTTATTATCTTTATAGTGCTTGAAAAAATGTCTGTGTAACTAAAATGCTGGCCTGAGGCACCTTCCCTAACATCTGCAGGCCAGAGGTGTGCTTTTAAGAAAGGAAACAATAAAAAAAAAAGGGTAAAATTACACTGACAATGAAATAAACCATGGCGGTTCTGAATACTTCTTAGGGCATAGCTTTGCTGCTGTATCTTATCTGTTAAGCTGTTTAATCAGCCTTGGTTCTCTCACTTATTTTTAGCTGGCTTGGAATATAACAACACTGAAAGGCTGTGGCTGCAGGTGCATTTGCAGTCAAGTAACAACAGAAAAATAACTTTTGAAGGAGAAATATTACTCCAGAGCTTTGTACTCCAACACTGCAACAAGGAGGATAAACTAATGGCTGGAAGACTGGTGAAAAAAGGACAGAAAAACAGAATGATGAAAATAACAGAGTGAAGAAAAGCTAAAGAAGCAATACAAACTAGTTGCATTGATTAAAAATGCAGCTTGCACATCCTTTAGCTTTACTTGCATTTTGACATTAAGCACAGAAGAACGTATGTGCTTTAGCAGCAATTTATTAGCTATACATTTACTACACACAACTTTAATCCACCACTGACTTCTTTGCTTCTGTCTCTCATGATAAACTGTCACACCCACAGCACCAGCTTACCTTCAGCTTGCTTCAGCCATCCTTACTTTTGCAGTGTGAAGTGTCTCTGGCGGAAACCCTGTCATCAAGCAGACTTCCTCTCCTGCAAGCCAGCTCACTCTTCCATTTCTGCCTTCTTACAGCTAAGCATTTCTACTGTAGCTTATCTGCCCTCCTGTATTCCTAGCTAGCTTTGCATTGCTGCTGACTAACCCTTGGCAAGCCTCTCTTTCTGCTCTCCTCTGCTTGCTATTGCACCATTTTCTTTAAAGTTAAAATTAAAGTACTCTCCTGATGCTTTCCCTTTCTACAAATCTCTAAGCAGCAATTACAATAATATTACCTACATATCTTCTGTAACTCCATCACTTGCCTTATTAACCTCACTCTGTTTCATTTCCTGATTTTCCTCACACCCACTCTTCCATTTGTTCACAGCTTTAGTCATTGGGTCTGCTGTGACCCCCCAGCACCCACACAGATATGCTGGTCTCTTTTAAATACTAAGAAGAAAAAGCCAACAGAAACCAAATGCAAGCCTTCGGTAGCAGTGCCTCCTGTCAGCTTACTTTTACAAGTCTTCCAATGGCATCTCATCTGGTTCTACCCTAAATCCCCTTAAACTTGGTGTTCCTTCCTCCTGTCATCGGGAAGTTTCTCAACCCATCTTAAACCAATCTCTTCTTTGGCCTTCAGCCACGTGTAGCATAGCCAGCTCATCTCCGATCTTCGCTTGTACAGTTATTCTCACCTATTGCTTCTCCAGTGACAGTTTCAGCTTGGCTTGTCAGTACCTTCCCCTATATTTTCTCCCGTCTTCTGCAAGAGCAGTGGTGAGCCCTGACCCTGACTCTCCTCCCTTCCCTTCTAGCTCACAGCTCAACATCCTGATGCACAAATACAGGTGTTACTGCCTCCATTCAAACTTCAGCTGTCTCCATTGTAATTTAAAGTTCTGGCAGTGAGCATGTTTGAAACAAACCCTCTGTCTGTAAACCAACCACTATTCTACTGAGCTGTTTTACGGCCCACTGTGCAAAGGAGCAGGTAGAAACTGACAGCCAGGAACGTGGTGTTTGAGCTCAGATTGCTCTGAACTGCTGTGGGAATCTCAACCAGGGCACGATCTTTGTTATTTATTGACGTGACTGGGTATCTCACTCAAGCTCTCCTCGTCTCAGTTATTGTTGACATCCTTTTCTCTGGCCTCAACAGATAGAGCATTTGCTTCTGCTCAGAAAGCTCTGCAACACCATTTTCTTATTTTTCCAATGTTAGTTCTCCACCCCTTTCCAGAGCCAGTCTTCTCTATCACACACAAAACTGTTGCTCTTCAATTGCAAGCCCGTTCACACGCTGTTCTGGTCCCAGGTACCTTTTGTTTCACACTGAAAGGCTATTTCCTGCCAGCCTGTACAACTGAATCCCACTACTGCACTTTCAAATAGGGTCTCCTGCTTTATCCCACCTCTTTGCACAGGCTCAGGTCTTGCTGAACACCTATAGAAGTTAGCATTTCCAACTGATTTTCTATAAAATTCCTCCTCATCTGTATATAGACATTCTGTATAGACACTGCATGTAGATATTAGAGGTTTACCTAACCTTTTGGAACAGCAACAATTGCATGCTTTGGCTCTTTCATTGTTCCACATAATGTTTAACATAATACTAGCTTGGATTATCCCTGAGGCCACTAAGCTCAGAGATAAGTATTCAGTGTGATACTATCCACAATGAATAAATGAATGTGTGAATAAACCAATAACACCTTTTATGTGGCAAATTGCAAGAGGCAATCAATTAAATAAGGTTATTTGTTTTGTAAGTTATATTGTCAATGCTTCCTTAAATGCATCTTCTCACCATCTTAATTCCATGTAGCAAAAAGCATCCTTTTGCCATTCTTACTTTCTTACTTTCAGCTGTACCATTAAAATCAATGGGCTTACTTGCATAGTTATCAATAACATTTATTTATACTGTGCATAAAGACTATCTCAGGCAGAAGCTTCCTATAGCATGGCATTTTGTATATGGTCAGCAGCCTGTGACCTGACCATACACAAGTAAAATTCAATTGAATTTCAGTCAACACCATGAATAATCATAGTAATTACAGGATTAAAAAAAATGGCAGACGGAATGATAGCTTTTTTCTCAGCAGTAAATGTGTCATGTAAGGAGAATTACCACCCAAGCAGGTATGTGTGTATTTTGCTTTGATTAACCACAGGCTTTTACTGGGGAGTGAAATGCAAGGCCAGAACCCAAGTCACAACCCAGAGGAATTCTTTAAAGTTACCAGTGGCATGATGGGGCCTGGAGAGACAAATACTAATCCTAACAACACATGTTCTCGAGTTTCTCAGTCTTCTGTGTCTACCTTGTCACTCACACCAGTCACAGTTTTCGAACCAGGGTGTTTAGCCAGTGTACAACTACTCTAATATACTGCTGTTGGCTATGGGACATAGAAGGCATCAAACAGCTATTGTAATGGGGCTGCTGGGAATCACAGAGAACCCTAGGAACTGCTGTTTGGAATTGCCGAGATGAGAGATTGAGACGGACCTGACCAGGAGAAGTGGGCAGTTGGAAAGGAGTACATCGTTAAAGAAAGCAGGAAAAGATGTGCTAAAGTACCAGTGCAAGGGCTCTGAAAAGGGAGACAGGTTGAAGAAATACAAAGGAGCTGTTTGGGGCTGTGAATCTTGCAGGGGAATTAAGTAATAAAGAGATCATCAAAAGCACTCAGGTTACACCCATCAGCAGAGCCTAGTCTTACATGACAGACTCATACCAACTACCGCCAAGTTTACTCTCAGGTGCTGGTCTATAAGCTTGTAACTTCATTACAGATGTGTTTTGCAGCCAGGTGACTCTGCTGCATACATAAAAACCTGCAGAAAGAGGGTGGACAGAGCACAAGAGCACTAGTAGCATTTACTGCTTCAGCCAGTCCAGTTAGAGCAACCTGCAAATATCAGTTTGACCTTAGATTCCCTGTGGCGACTTAAGCAAAAGCGTGGCATTTTCCAACTGAAGCAGCTAGCAGCACTGTGTAAATGAACACAGCCAGCTGACAGACAGTAGCTTAGTTGTTTTTCATCATAAACTTTACCTTTTTGGTACAGACCTGATAGGTTTACAGTTTCAGCAAAAGCTGCCTAAAATACCACAAGTTCTCTCACTGGATGTCAGGCAAGTTCCTCCGAGATGGTATAATTAGGCTAAAGACTACCTTAGAAAAATTTTTTTGCCTTTAATGTTTTATTTAAAGTTCAATGCAAGAAAAACGATTTAAAATACATCCTCATAAAGATGAGTATCTTTATCAGTAACATGTATACCTCATCCTGCAGGCATTACAATTATCAGGTGTACTGGTTAGGTATTCTTTGTACTCTCTTTACTAGACCTGACCTCATATATTAGCCTGAAGAGCTGGTTGTAGAGCTTGTCCATAGCATACCCTGTCCCTGTCAGCAGATCTGGCTGAGATTAGCATCTCTGAAGATAAAATTCTGCACTATTGTAGCTTGGGCTGAAAGTGTGCAGGATTATTTTCAAATGAATATCCATTATGCATAGAGCATCTGGTTGATACATCATATGTGTCACACCAGTCTTAGGTATTGTTGGACACTTAAACTGCTATAATAGTCTTTCACTTGTGAGCAGTAAAAAGGTGCTGTGTGTGGGGGGAAGATTTACAGAAGCAAATAACTTTTATGGATGAGGATTTAAAATCCAGGTATTGTAAGAGAATCAGTTGCAATTCCACTAACAAATACAATGCAAGTCTTGGTGCTCATGTGCACGGGTATCAAAGCAGAAAGCTCAGCTTGGACCAGAGATAAAGTGATGCTTGTGGCAAGCACTAAGTGAGAGTGGTTTGAAATTGGCTATTGTATTGAAGGCCTATTTTTTATACCACCTCCCAATACTAAGAGCAATTTCTGGTTTTCTCCCCACTTCCCCTTCTGAGCTCTGGCTTAGGGTCTGAAGCAATGGAATGTTTTATTAAAGAAAGAAGGGAGGTTCAGACCCTTATCCTGTTGCTTTTAATGCTCATCTTTACTGCTCTGCTTATTGTAGTGCTACAAAGCTTACAAAACCAAACCTCATTTCCCCTGTTTGCCCAAGTTCCTACTTCAGCAAATGAACCCTGGAGAGGATAGAGCGCTCTAAAGGCGGTTCACTGAAGGACAGCCTGGATCCTAGGCCTAGACTTACCAACAAAATGTATTGCCAGTTTATTTTTATTCACAAGTAGCTACGTGCCCCCTTTCTGACTTGTAATAGCAGATGAAATACGGAAGTTGAGACAGAGGAGATATGTGACAGAAGGTGGAGCAAGAAAGTAATGATGCATAATGAAAGAATCAATGATGCATATACACATCATTATCACATATATTCATTACCAGACAAAATCAGGTAATAATGGTTACTTTCTGCCCAGAAGCAAAGGGCTTAACTTTTTTTAAGGCTGTGTCAGTGAGCTTTGGCTGTCTGTCTGTCCAAAAGCCAAACTCTGTGCCTTTGACATGGACAAATAGGGTATTAGGAACACATCTTGTATGAGAATTCAAAGTATGATTGCAAGCAGTCGCTTTCTGCACTCTTCACGGGCAACTTTGCCAACAAGGCTGATATATCTGTGGGCAAAAGGAATTTAAGGCCTCAGCACGCTCAGGGCACGAGCTCCGGAGTTATGTAATATCCAAACCCAAGTTTCCATTAAAAAATAACAAAAATCTGGCCCTCTCGGTTGCAAAACCAGCAGAGCTGGAAACATTAAGTAAACCTCTCACACTGGGGTAACTGACTCAGTGTACACACCACACCTCGAGCTGAACCACTGTAAGTAAACACCGCGCTCAGCTCACAGCCGTCTTTCCACAGCTTCACCGCGCGGGACCCGGCGGGACTGAACCGCGGTAGCCTCCGGCTATAGCCCAGCCTCTGCACCTCACCGGTTGTGCTTCCCCCCTGCCACGGGTGTGGTGTTCGTGAAGCGCCTCATGGGGACGGTAACGTTCAGCACGGCGGTGCGACGCCCGCCACACGGGGACAAGGCTCGGCGGCTGCCGGCGCGGGGCTGCCCGGCTTCCCCAGAACGGCCGCTACCGCCGGGGAACGGTCTCCGAACTCCTCCCCTTCCCTCAGCCCAGTCCTGCGGGCCGCCATTCGCCTCACCCCGCCCGCCTCACCGCGGCACAACCAGTAGGAACCGCCGAACGACGTGACAGATAGGAGGCGGTCACCAACGAGGAAGCGGCTTATCTCCGGGCTGGAGAGTACGTGTCTGAGGGGAGGAGGCGGCGGCGCGGAGCAGCCGAGCGCCGCGGGGGACGGGTGTCAGCCCCAGTGCGAGAAGGGGTTTTAAACCGATCCCGGCCGGACCGGATTTTACCGCGAGCGGGTTTTAAAGTGAGTACGGACGGGATAGGCGGCGGAAAGGGGAGGGGCGGGACCCGACCGGATCAGACCGGCGCGGTGGGGGGAGCTCTTGGCTGACCCGCGGGCCGCGCTCCTCTCTTGCAGGCGCCTGTCGTCCCTCTCGCCTCTGCGGACGGGGCAGCATGTCCGAAGCGGAGCAGCAGTTGGCGGCCGGTGCCACCCAGAACGGGCACGAAGCGGCCGAGAACGCCGGAGAGCAGCAGGCCGAAACCGGCGGGGCTCCGGCAGCGGCGGCGGGCGCGGCGGTGGCGGCAGCGACGGCAGGAACGGCGGCAGCGGGAGCCGGACCGGCAGCGGGAACAGCGGGGACGGCCGCCAGCCAGAACGGAGCGGAAGGCGACCAGATCAACGCCAGCAAGAACGAGGAGGATGCGGGGTAAGCGCCGCGCCGCCCTCGGCGCGCTGAGGCGGGAGCAGGCCGCGCCTCCCCGCTTCCCCCCCCGGGCGCCATGTGTGGCTGCGGAGCGCGGCCGCTAGGCCCCGGCGGGGCCCTTGGTTGGGAGCGGAAGCGAAGCGGGCGGCTCGCAGGGCCCCGCAGCCCTGGGCCCCGCTCCGCCCGGCGGGGGAGGGCGGCGGGCGGCCCCGCTGCGGAGGGATCGGCGGGCGGTGAGCCGGCGGCCCTGCAGCACCAGCGCTTCCTTTGTTCTGGAGCTGCCTTTTGTTGGCGCCATGTGGTGGCTGGGGGAGGGGCGGGGAGCGGGTTTGTTGCCGTCTCACGCTGTAAAATGGAAGAGGATTTACCTCCGTTCCAGTCACCTCCCGCGTTTTCCTCCGCCTTTCCCTTTTTAACGAAAGGAGCGGATGGAAGGAGTTGCTTTCTGTCCGGGGAGGGTGGTTCAAACTTTGTGGGGATTGCATGGCCGATCGCTACCGGCATCGGTGTGAATGTTGTAATACGTATAAAACCCCCAATCCTGGCTTTGGAAGCCGGTCGGGATAAGCTGAGTATTTTTTGAGGGAGTAAAGGGGAAAATTACACGATTGAGACGACGCGCGGTGTATTTAAACCAGCAAGAGCTATTTTGGTGTACTTCTTTGCAGCGTTGTCAGAAAACGGCTTATCTCTTGCAAGCAATTCCTGGAGGAGTCAGTGTAGCTTTGCAGTGTAGCTTTGCAGTGTTTTGGTAGAGGCATCTTTGTGTATTCTTTCCTGCGCTAGTTGGTCTGTTTGTGAGCGTATGTGCTTGGCTTGAAAATCACCTGCCTGTTTGTCAAGGGGGTCTTTGTTATTCAAGCTACCCCACGTATTTAGTTGGAACTGCCTTTGTTATCCCAGGGCTATGAACCAGCGGGTCAGATCCCTCAGGCTCAACAGAGCTGAAGCCACAGTAGTGTAATAGATTTTGGCTGTAAGGGAAGGAATAAAACTTGCACAAGTTTCCTATAAGCTAGGGCCGGGTGTACCTTTTGTAGACACTAGAAGGATTGAGAAACAAATCTTTAAGCTCTGTGCCAATTTTGTTTACTTTTCGTGTTCTGCCCTGAAAAGTGAACAGTACCGTTTCTTGCATAGGAGGCGACTATTTCAACCGCAGGTCTATGTGTTGAAACAAGAGCTGTCCAAGGCTAATGTCAGCACCCCGAACTCTGAGTATTTCGTTAAGAGCTGAAACGTGCGTTGATTTAGCTGCACTAATATGCTCTGGAAGAAGAGAAACTACATGTTAAGAGTGCAAATGCGTCTATGTGGCCCCTGAAGGCCAACCCAAATGCTAGGAATTTGGCCTTAATTTCTAAAGGTCTGTGTTGTGTTATTTAAGTATATGTAGGTGTCAGTCATTCCAATTACAAAAGAAAGGACTGCAAATTATGAAGTGTAATATTTATCGCTGTGGTAAGAGGTGAATTTTGTATGTGGCAGTATCTGTGTATGTACCACAAGCCCAACCTGATGGTGTAAAGTTGCTAAAGCTGCTTCCAGACAAATTCGTGTCACCCCACAACCATTGTATTTCTGTTGATAGTTCTGTAAGTGTAGTCAATAATGACAGGGGATGGAAAACCACTGTTGGGCTGTACAGATTATAGCAGCAGTGCTTGGTCAGAAAGCAGGCTGCTGTGATGAGATGGAATCTGTCAAGTTACCTTTCTTTCACCTGTTACGGAAAGGCTTAGTACACTTTGTATGGCCTTTCTCTGTTGTAACAGCTCATGAAGCACACAGACTTAACTTGCGCCTTGTGTTTCATGCTGCACTTGACAGTTAAGCGTGCCCAGTTTGATTAGCCCACAAAGTATGTGGTTATATGGTTTCATTCAGTTTGAGGGGGGTGAAAAAGGCAAAGAAACCCCAAGCAACCATGTAGATGTTTTTCTGATGCTGCCTTTTGAACATAAATGGATACTGGTTCTAGGAAATCAGTTACACACAAACCCCAACCCCCCTCCCTTTTTTTTTTTAAACAGACTAGTTGCTAAAATGCTGCTGGCTTCTAATGCCAAATCTAGGTTGCTTCTGAGAGTAATGACAAACTGCTTTAATCTGTAAGTCTATAGTTAGGTAAAAAGGCTGGAATGCTTTTAAAAGCTTAGTTTGTTACCTTGGAAACTCTGAAAATAGAAAATACAGCTATGTTATTAATGTTTTAATTTGAAGTGAAGTGCCTTGCTAAGTTTTGTTCACTTCTATATTGCACTTCACTAGTGTTCAGTTGTTCGAGCTGCTTTAGAGGATATTTTAGGGTGAGGAAGTGGGCAGGGAAGTACTGTATTGTCTCCTCATGAGAGTAAAGACTAGTAATTGAGATACTTCTGTAGTACTGATGATGATAGAACTAGATTTATAACTAAGCAGGAAGAAGTGCACAGCATACTAGTTAAGGCAGGTCCAAAGTCCCATCTGTTGTGACTGTTCTTGGAGGCCATAGATACCTGGTTTAAATCTTGCAGGTGGTTGTTAGGACTAAAACGTTTACTTTGTCCAGACCTTTTGTCCAAATCCTAGAAGAGCTTAAGTATTTTGATGCCTTATTGTATCCTGAATGCTTTCAAAATAGTAGGAATGATCCTAGGTCTTTTCAGGCAGTTGGCAGTACTTGGTAATCAATACTGCTTTGATGCAAGTAACAGAATACTGGTAAAAGAATGTAGGTTATTGGCAAGGAATATTTTGAGCAAATTTTACTGTTCCTTGTAGCCTGCAACAAACCTCAGGGTGCATTGTGTTATTTTCTCCTAAAGGAGGACACCCACCCACCTACCTTTGTGTGCTCTCATAATATCACTAGTTTTTGGCAAGATGCAGAAGTATTTAACTTTCAACAGTTGGTCGTGTTTCTGACAAGGCTGCTGAGGTGTGTACCGCTATGAGTGCCTTGCTGCGTGTGGTTTTTTTGTAGTACTTCTGAATCTAAACAGCTTTTCACTCTTTGAAATTTCAGGAAGATGTTTGTTGGTGGCCTCAGCTGGGATACAAGCAAAAAAGACTTGAAAGATTACTTCACCAAATTTGGTGAGGTGACTGACTGTACAATAAAGATGGACCCTAACACAGGAAGATCCAGAGGCTTTGGATTTATTCTCTTCAAAGAACCTGGGAGTGTCGAAAAGGTGAATTAAAGCTTCATATAGAATCGTTAGGGTTGGAAAGGACCTTAAGATCATCCAGTTCCAACCCCCCTGCCATGGGCAGGGACACCTTACGCTAAATCATATCACCCAAGGCCTTGTCCAACCTGGCCTTGAGCACTGCCAGGGATGGAGCATTCACAACCTCCCTGGGCAACCCATTCCAGTGCCTCAGCACCCTAACAGGAAAGAATTTCCTCCTTATATCCAACCTAAACTTCCCCTGTTTAAGTTTGAACCTGTTACCCCTTGTCCTGTCACTACAGTCCCTAATGAAGAGTCCCTCTCCAGCATATCTGCAGGCCCCCTTCAGATACTGGAAGGCTGCTATGAGGTCCCCACACAGCCTTCTCTTCTCCAGGCTGAACAGCCCCAACTTTCTCAGCCTGTCTTCATACAGGAGGTGCTCCAGTCCCCTGATATTTCAGATTCTTAACTTTTAGAGGAAGCTTTTCAACTTGAGTTAATCATACCAAACTATTTTTCAGGTTCTGGAACAGAAAGAACACAGGCTAGATGGACGACTAATTGACCCCAAGAAGGCCATGGCAATGAAAAAGGATCCAGTGAAGAAAATATTTGTTGGTGGACTGAACCCAGAAGCCACAGAAGAAAAAATCAGGGAATACTTTGGAGAGTTTGGAGAGGTGTGTAAGATCACCTTACTAACACTGAAACATCCAGTCTCCAGTTGCTGTTTAGTTTACTAGTAATTTGCAAGTGGCAGATTAACTTCAACTGTATTAAGGCTTCTGTAAGTGATCCAGAGGTTTCCCATCTTGAGAGCAAGGAATCTGGATGCTTCCATTGCTCATTAGACACCCTTGTCTTAAAACATTGTATCAGAAGTTAAAATTGGTTTTAAGAGCTGCAAAATTGAAACCTCTGATCTGAAAACAAATGTTAGTATAGACTGAACATTGCAGCTTCGGTGTTGCATCATATGCATAGATATGAAGTTTTACTGTCCCAAATGCCATGTATGTAACTGTTGTGCTAAAATACAAGCCTGAAAACAGTATTTCATGTCTTCAGATTGAAGCGATTGAACTTCCAATGGATCCAAAGACCAACAAGAGGAGGGGGTTTGTCTTCATCACTTTCAAGGAAGAAGATCCAGTGAAGAAGGTTTTGGAGAAGAAATTCCATAACGTCAGTGGAAGCAAGGTAGAAACCTTGACTTGTACATTTTTGCCCAAGTATGAAGTGTAAATACCACTGCATCTGTAATCTGAAAAGGATTTTGTAGACCCCTGATCTCAAGGTACCAAAGTTATGATAAGGACCGTTTACCACAAACAGGAGTGTTTTGCCCTAACTTCAGTCACAGAGGCTATCAAGGTTCTTTGCCAGTACTTGTGGCTTTAATACTTGCTATGTTCTAGGGGCTTTTGTATGTAAAGTATCTAATTGCATTCATTAAGTACATGTGGAAAAAGTGGCTTATTTATATGTCAGTGTAGCAATATAAGCCATTTGAACAGACGTATATCTGTGCATAAAGCACTTGCTTAAATTCAAGGCTTACAGACACTAACTTTGTAAGTAGCTGTCTGAAACTGGCTCTGTTTGACATGGGAGCATAGTCTGGTGTCTTTCAGAAGTCCCCCACTGCAACCAAAACCATGTCATGTAAACCAGGTACAAGGATGCAGAGTAAACATGTTTATGGCACTTTGTACCTGGTCAGCTGGTTATGTGAACTACAGTAAATGTGGTGCGAGATGCTCTGAACAGCTGACTTCTGTGGGACTAGCTAATAGAGACTCGCGTGTCAAGCTAATAAGAGGACTAGAGGCAGATGATGCGTGCTGGCTGGAGGTGTCCCTTTTCCCTTGCTGCATGGTCAGTGACCATACATGAACTTGAAAGCCCTATTGGATCTGGTCATACTGAGGCAGTGACTTAGACTGCACTTAATGGTCTTGACACAGCACAGAATAAACTTTGGCAAACATAATGCGCTGGTAGCTGTCAAGACACACAAAAAAAGCAGCTCGTTTTCAGGACAGAAGAATGCTCATGTGCCAAGAGAGGGGAAAACACATCTGTATCTCATAACTGTGGCTTGTTTGTGTTGTAGTGATAATAGAAAGAGCAGGTTACCTTAAACTGGGGTGAAGAATTCCAAGCCAGGCATACTAGGGTGCTGCTGTCACAGGGAGTTGTTTGTTTCACAGTGGCAGTAGCTTTCATCTCAGCTGGGGCAGATTCAGGAACTAGGAAGCTGGCTGACAGTTTGAACTGCAGCTTGGGAACCTGTCTTGGAAATGTCATAATAAATCACAGAATGAGTTGGGTTGGAAAGGAACTTAAAGCTCATCCAGTTCCAACCCCCTGTCACAGGCAGGGATGCCTTCCACTAGAGCAGTTTGCTCCAAGCCCTGTCCAGCCTGGCCTTGAGCGTTGCCAGGGATGGGGCAGCCACAGCTTCTCTGGGCAACCATTCTGTGTCAAGTCTGTTCTTAGTATTTGATAAGTAATGATTTCAAGTGTTTGGTAGATGTACTGTAGTCCAGCACAGCTGCTCAGTACATATAAAGGCTGCCAGGAAAACTGTTCTTGTGCATTTCTCAGAGCCTGTTTTATTCAGTACAGCTGGGGTGGAGTGATCCAACAGTCTTAGAGGTTGTGCCAGGATAGTGGGCTTTTACAGTAGCAGTAGTAATGCTGAGGTGGCCTTGGCACCTCTTCCATGGGGGACTTGATAGAAGAGAATAGGCAGTATTAAAATACTCTGAAAGCAATGGCCTGCTTTGTGTGGCCAGTAGGACTTACCTTTCTCTTCCATGGGGAAGTTGATGGTAGGAAATAGGTGGTATGAAATACTCTGAAAGCAGTGGCCTGCTTTGACTGGCTGACAGTAACTTACCTTTGCCCAGGTGGCACAATACATCAGATGCTTCTGGGTTTGTGTTAGTCCTGCTCATGTGATGGGAAGCACAGCAAGCATACCTCCTTTGCCTCCAGGGTAATCTCTGGCTTTCCTAGCTTGTTAGGCTGGGTGCTGCTGCTATAAGAACAGCATACACACTCATCCCTGTTTCTTCTTTTCAGTGCGAGATTAAGGTAGCACAGCCAAAAGAAGTTTACCAGCAGCAACAGTTCAGTAGTGGTGGAGGAAGAGGTAGCTATGGAGGAAGAGGCAGAGGCGGAAGAGGCGGCGGTAAGTACCACACGCACTACTTTAGTATGGACACATTCTAATAAGTTGTGTGTACTAAAATGGGATTTTGTGGATGGTTTTCCCTTCTATAGCTCAAAGTCAAAATTGGAATCAAGGTTATGGCAATTACTGGAACCAGGGTTATGGGAATCAAGGATACGGCTATCAGCAAGGTTATGGTGGCTATGGAGGCTATGATTATTCAGGATATGGGTATTATGGATATGGACCAGGCTATGATTACAGTAAGTAAAGAGAACTGTATTGGGTATAAGCAAGCATAACTAATTAGCAGTTTAATGCATTTGTTCTCTTGTTCATAGGTCAAGGCAGTGCAAATTATGGGAAGACACCAAGACGTGGTGGTCATCAGAATAACTACAAGCCATATTGATCAAACTTATTCAGGTATGCAGTGGCATGGTCTCTTTTGGAAAATGACTGCATAGGTTTTGTATACAATGCTGTAGATGGATACTTCAGTTCTGTACCAAATTTAACTTTACAATAAATTTCTATGGCCTGTTAAATGTGCATCTTACTTGGAAGAGCTCCCTGGAAATGTTTTACATGTTTAATACTTAAAGATAACTAGTTGTCTAGACAGTGTGGTGTGTAAATTTCAGCCTTGCTGAAGATATTAATTAATGATTTTATTAATAGGTTAAACTGAAACTGATTTTGAGGGTCTGCTTAAAGCTGCAGCTCTGCATCTAGGGACTGCCTCTTGGAGTTAACTATGGACTCTGCATTACTCCAGTTGTACAGAATGAGATGCATCTTAGGGAACCAGTGTCACTTTCCACCTTTTTATTTTGTATTGTTTTTGTGTCATACATTTCCTGTAATGGAAGTGTTAATTTTACTGTACTTTTTGGTACCTTTTTGGAATCTAATGTATTGTAAGGTATTTTACATGTGTTCTGATTCACCATGACATGGATATTGAAGCTATCCTAGCTTTTGAAATAAAAAAGGCGTAATCTAGTGTCTTGTGCCATTCTTCAGCTTATGTATCAGTAAAATGCCAGCATCCTGTTCCCAGAACTTAGTTCATGGCAGTACCTTGACAGATGAAGAGTTGTGCTTAAATGCTTTTAATCTTAAAACTAGAAGGCTGTATTGGTAGTTGTGCTCACTTGCAGTTAAGTGGCAGCTAAAAACTGCAGTCACTTCTGCCTGGAGGTTATAGAAGAGAGCTGAGGTGGAAAGCCCCAGCTTTTGTGGAGGCTGTGCTGGCAGTTCATGCTCTAGACAAGCACAGAGGCTCAGCATAACTGTGTTTACTGTCTGCATTGTAGGCCTCTATTAGGAGGAGCCAGAAGTGTAGGTTTCAGGTAGGGCTTGAGAGTCCAGACAGCACTGCAGGAGGAAGTTGAGCTGTGCGAGCAGCTGGCTGCACTTCCTTCGTGTTCACTGCCTTGAGTCTGAGACTCCTACAAGTTCTTAATTGTATGTTATACAATAACCTGCCTTGAAAGACAGGTTAGACATTAAATTACCAATGCAAAGTCTGAGTAGCTGCAGCCTTTTTCTGTATCATAAATTGCTAAAAGAACTTCCACTAAAGTCGTGGGTAGAAAAACAACAACACATCTCTTTCAGAAAGAGATGAGTGACCAGCTCTAAATACGCTCTCCTTTTTTGACTAGTTACCACTATTTTAAGGCAATAACTATGATATGATTTGCCTCTCTGGCTGCAGAATACTCCTAATCTCAGATTTATAAGTAAGTAGCAAGTGCTGCTGCACAAAGTAAACTGCTAATAGTCAAGTAATCAATTTGATCTTTCTTTTTAAAGCTAAAACTGACAACTTTTTTTTTCCATATTTTCTATTTGAATAAATGGGAACCAGAAGTGGAATCAAACCAAGACACTAAGACAAGGCACAAACAGATGTTACTAGTGACTTTTCCAGGGTTTGTTTTTTTTTTTAAACAGGGATGCAGCTATTCCTGCAGAGACTATAATATGCTGCTCCCTGCTGGCTGTCCTTAGTAAGAAAAACTTGCCGTATAATTAAAAGGTCCTCAAGACTCTTACAAGTCTGTAAGAGTTTCCTGGTGTTAAGTGGAAATCTGGAATATGAAACAGATGAATCAGATGTTAAATCTGATGGTATGACACCTTTACAGCTGGAGTATGCAACCTAATGCCCAACTAGCAAATAAAATTGCATACAACTGAAAGAAATGAGTACAGTATTTAAAAGTATTACTGTCTTAGGATGTAAAATTGAAATGCTTTATTGCATACTTCAACTTGTTTTCTTATGAAATAAGGGGTAGCAGAGTATTTTTCTAGCAAACAGTTTGCCCTCCAATGGGGAATGTGCATAGTATCAGGCCCATACTGCTGCAGTGTATTAGCAATAGTCTGTCAGCTGACTGTTACTGTGGTGTTGTTGGAAGTATGTATGATCTCAGGTGATGCTTCCTTGGCAGGTGATGTGGCCTTAAGCAGAAATTGAGGATAGTGGTACTTAAATGCAGAGCTGGCTTTTCCTATATCCTTTGCCTGAAAAGTTTGTGACACAACATGTTAATTGCCCGGTGAAAGCAAGGGCTTGTACACAAGGTTGTTGCTTATGGCTGTAATGAGCTCTTAATTTACTAGTCTTGGAGATTTCTTGAGGACAGAGTATTTTGTAAGAACTGCTTTGGGAGCCATGGCCCTCACAGTCTGTTCCTCATGCATTTGATGTTGTGGATTTGAGTCTGAAGTTTGTGACTTAATCTGGTCACTGAGACTGTTGAATATAGTGTTGTTAGGGACCTTGTTCTGAAACTGGTTAGAGAAGCCTGGGCAGGACTGGGTGTACTGGGAGCAAGAATGGTGTTTGCGTAGGTAGCAGCAGATTTAAAGAGAGAACCCATTGGCTCATCTTCATTTGCAAAAGTCATAACCTGAAAGAGCATGAATTTAGAATATATAGTTTATAGCAGCTACTAGAAATACGTTCCTTTAGCATCACTTTTAGATACGCTGTTTTAAATAAAAGCCAATTCCACACTTCTGCCGGAGTTGAAACAAGCTCTTGCAAAATTTATTTCTCCTAAAGCTTTTACTAATAACAAGATAACTGAAAATAACAAAGTTAAAGGTAACTTATCTGGTTTAAGACATGCTAGGATGAAGGCTAAATGTGCATATAATTACAGTAGAACAGTGTTTCTTAGTAGATGATCTTGAACGTTGTTTGAAACCTATGGAAAGAAAATAAAGTTATGGGGTTTTGTTTTGGTAAAAGCATTAAATAACTTGGTCATTGCCTCATCTTGCTTACATTATATGTAAGTGTCCTGCTAGTACTGTACTTAAGAGGCTTTTTGTTTTCTTGACTTCCTGTAGAAAATAAAGACATTTTTTTTGTGCTTAGTTTAGACTGCAGACAAGTACATAAAGTCACAGGTTTCTTAAGTTAAAACTGGCACTGTTAAGTAATCTTTCTGTTTTTGAGAATAAGTAGTACCATCAGCTGTATGTCTTTCCATTAACTTGCTAAATAAAATATTAACACATTTTTCTTGTGCCTGCTATACTAATGTTATATTGAACTAAAACCACGTTTCTCCATAGCTCAGGGTCATGGCACTGAGAATCTAGTGTGGTGGTTGAGGCCACCAGTGATAACATTGATTACAATCATTACATGAGGGTACATTCTCATCTAGATACATAGAGTTTTGCTGGGCACTTGGTTTAAACACTGTTGGTTGCCTTTTAGAGTAGGTTGAAGTATTTCTACTACAATGTGTTGTTATTGAGGTGTTAACTGTGCAAATGTGTACGCTGTGCTCATGAGTGTGTGGCAGAATGAATTGCAGATAGGTGTTCTCTGTAAGCAAGCTATAGAGGGACCTCAACAGATACTAAGACCTATGAGGCTTGGAAGATTTAACAGGACTCTTGTCTTGCTGATACCCACGGTATAGGCATATTGAGTATAGGGGTAAATTGATGCTTAAGCATGAGGTAACAGCCATGTATGTGAAATGATCCTATGTAGTAGTCAGAAATGCTCAAGAGAACAGAAGGCAATACTATTTCAAGTCACATGTTAAGTAAAACAGGAGCTGTAGTATTAAAAGTACTGTTTATATTGCTCTTCATAAAGCTGTTAGCATAAGTGGAGGTTCCCAAATTGTGGCATGCAGAATGTACAGTGCTCCTGATGTCAAGGGCAGTTAAGGGGAGACTTGCTGAGAAGTAATTATGCAGCTGGAACAACTTCTGTCTAGAGACCTGAGGCACTGAGCAGCATAAAAGCTGTTTTTCATCTTGATGTGCGTGTCATTTGCATGCCAGGGGTTAAACCCAGTCACTCTTAAAGCTCCCCAGACAAGTACAGCATGCTCTGGTTGTAGGCTTTTCTGGGACATGGTGGACCTAGCTTACAAACAAGTGAGTATGAACTATGTGTGTAGAAGTGTCAGGCTGAGTTCCAGATGTGCGCAAGTCTGCTCTGTGCTTCTGGATTGCCAGAAGTACCTGCAAACTAACTTCAAGTAAAAGCATCTCCAAGGATGCTTGTTCTTGCTCTACTGCCAGTGGCAATGCTTGTGAAGTTATATGTAGGAACCTTGGCCTTTAAATAGTGAAAGATTAATATAGGTAAATACCTGCTCAGGTAGCACCAGCGGATGTTTTCTGTTGGTTCAGATCTTCTTTTTCCATAGCTGGAGAGAGAAGAAGCAATTTAGCAAACTCGTGACAGTGCAAAAACTTGTTTCTAACTTAGTTAATACTGAGTGTGCAGAAGTTGTATAAAACCACAAGTGTCAAATGCACAGAGGCAAAGCTATTTTAAAAGGCATGTGCATCTGTAGAGTGAATAATTTTGACAGAGAACTTTAAAACAGAATAATTCAGAAGTGAAGGCTACACTTGGATTGACCAAGATTAATTTTCCTGTGTGCTCAGTATCTACCATCTTGGCTATTTTAGCACCTCTGAAAAGCAGCCTCAGCATTGACTTCAAGGCAGTCCAACAGCAACACTCTGTAAGGCAGTTTTGATCTGTACTACCTGTTAGTAGCTTGTCAATTGTGTCCACAACAAATCTTGCATCCTCCTTATTGAAGCACATTGGGGGCTTGAATTTAAGCACGTTTTTTCCTGGTCCATCTGTACTCAATAGAATATATTCTTCCTTAAGTCTGGAAAGAAAATAGCAAGGAATTATGTTTGCCTTTGCATGTAGTTCAGAAAAACTCAGCATCAGCATGTGGCTGTCCAAACAATGCCCTTCTGCACTGACTGGTTTCTTTTTCAGCCAGTTGGCTATATTTTAACTATTGAGTGGCAAGATTACTTTGTTATTGTGTGCTTGCCTTGCACATGGCAGAACTACACCATTGTCCTTTGTACCTTGTTATTAGATACTCTGCTTCAGCTGTGGCCGGGGTCCTTTCTGCTTGATCCTTGATTAAGTCCACTCCAATGAATAAGCCAGAACCCCTTTAAAGGAAATAAAAATAGTCAAATCTGTGCCAAAGGAAGGGAAGTGTATGTGAACTAAAAAAGGTTCTTGTGAGCCCAGACCTTTACTGCATGAGAATTACCTGATGTTTGGGCTAGTGATAGAAAGGATATTGCTGTTTTGAAGAAATGTAGTGATACAGCACAGACTTTTATCTGCTCAGAATGGCAGTGCAGGACTTGATGTGGAGCATATTTTCCATCCAGCTCATTAATTCTGTTCTTGGTGCACTTGGAGTTCAAACAGGAAAGTGAGTTCCTTTAGCACCTAATACATCAATAAAGCAGTACTGGCCAGCAGTGGCAAAGCAGACCAGGCTTTTGATAAGCTTCAAGCTGGTTTTAATCTGATGTACAGCAGGCTGTTGGATTTTTTCTGAAAACACTGATTTAATGAATATCTTAAAACCACATCAGTTTGAGTGTGAACCAAAGAAAAAAGCAGCTAAAAACTGTAAATAAGGTGCTGATACCTGACATCACCAATGATGGGATGCTTCATTTTCTGCTCCTTGAGTAGCTCCGTTAGGAAGTTGCCTACTTCTGTGGCATGAGCCTGAAGGTGTTCCTTCTCAATCACATCTAACACAGCTAATCCAATAGCAGATGAAACAGGGTTTCCTCCAAACTGAGCTCAGGAAAGGATTGCACATAGCATGGAAAGGGAAAAAAGATGCAAGTGTCACTGAGAGTGTGGCCTCAGTGATGTATGAGCATACTGCCATTTTTAGCAGATGGAGCTAGTAAATAGAAGGCTATGTACTAGAAAGATGCAAATAATAGAAACTGAGTGATAAAGATTAATAAAAACTGCATGATTATCCCATTTTAATACTTAAGACTGCTTTAGCAAAGGAGAGTTTGGGCAACTTACTGTATTAAAATACTCAACTCCTGTGGCTGCAAATGCTTCTGCAATTTCTGTTGTTGTTGCTACGCAGGCAATAGGGTGCCCATTTCCTATTGGTTTCCCCATAGTGACAATATCAGGTACAAAGTCTTCTCCCTGCAGCTGGAATGCCCAAAAGTGCTTGCCAACCCTGCCAAAGCCAACTTGAATTTCGTCAGCAATAAATATACCTCCTGCCTTGCGTACATGCCTGTAACATAAGAGATTTTATTGTCTCTTACAGCAAACAGAACATAGTATTTGCTGTTTAAAAACATGCAGACAGCATCACTTTGCAAACTTATAAGGAAACAAACTTGTACAGGCCTGTAATCTATATTATGTATTTAAAAGCAGATCGTTGCCATACAAAGTTTACTTTCTAACGTGAAGGCACAGACCATTTCCTGCCTATCAAGCTGTATGCTACAGCAGGCAGAGAAATTCTCTTATCTATAGTTCACAAGTACGTTAAATTTAAAAGATAATGAATGACCACTTACTCTGCAGCCTTCTGAAAATACCCTGCTGGTGGAATGATTTGACCACCCACACTTGGCAGAGACTCGGCAAAAAATGCAGCAATCTGAAATGAGAAGTAGCATGGCTGCAATACAGAAAGTTGTGGAAACTGTGTTAACAGCAAGCTCTTTGGCATTCGATGGTTCTTGCATTATTATGTGATCTTTCCTCTTTGACAAGTCTGTGCCACTTGGCTCAATAATCCTGAATGGCATTGGCAGGCAGCTGTGCTCAGTTCTAAGGCAAGACAAATGGTTATGGAAATCACTTCTTACCTTTCTGCCTCTCTTCTGTGCTTGCTCAATAATATTTTTCACTTCATTAGCATAGGCTGTTACTGAATCTTCATGGTCTTCTCTGTAAAGTCCTCTATATGTGTCTGGAACAGGAGCCTGTGCAAAGGAACAGTATCCTATATTCAGTATATTGTAAATAAGACTTCATTAAATTGACAAGTAGTTGGTAATTATATAGCGTGAAGTACATACCACGTGGACCCATTCCTTCTGTCCTTCTAGATTTCTGAATTTATATGGGCTTATGTCAATCAGGGATGTCAGATGTCCATGGTAAGCACTTAAAAAACAATTAGCAGAACTAAAGAGTAATTTCCTCAATATCAAAATGATTTTTAGGACTAGCATTCCTGATAGCTCAAGAGTAGCTAGGCCCTCAGTTGGTGGGAGTACAATCACTTAAGATCAGAACAGCTCTGCAGTTTCTATCAGTAAGCTTTAGTACGAGTTGGATTTCTTTGTGTACTGAATACAAGGGATGCAGAGGCACAGTACCCCTTAGCAATGGTCTGCCTGGACCAGTGACTAGAATCACGCCAGTGTTATGTCATAAGCACGATTGCAGGACTGGAAGGGACATGTCTGTCCTACTTCTGAGTATCCTCCAAGGGTAGAGTTTCCAGTGTCCCTTTGCATTCTGTTCTCATGTTTGACTACCTTCATTGTAAAGGATTTTGTTCCACTGTCTCATTAGAGTGCCTTCAGATATCAACTTATATCAGTTGTTTGTTGTTTTTTTTTTCTGTCACCATGTGTCTTCAGGTCTGGCTCCATTTTTCCGCTCCTTCTCACTAGGGAGTTGTAGCAGCAGTAAGATTTCTCTCTAAACATCTCCTGCAGCTGCACAAACCCTATTTTCTTAACCTCTCAAGCCTATGGCTCCCTATCCATTGTGGCAGGCCACTGCTGGCCACCTTCCAGTATGTCAGTGTCTGTTGTGGACTGGAGAACCCAACCTCAGGGCTCATCTTGCAGATACTGAACAGAGAGGAAAATTACATCCCTTAACTTCCTGGTGACAGTCTCCCTACTACAGGAGGTTTCAGAAATGCTGTGACCACAGAACAAAACCGAGCCTTGTACCCCGCAGATAGATAAAACTGTCAATATACTTACTGGTCTAAAACTATAACATCCTCATGTTTTGTGTACTGTCGTGCCAGTCTTAGGGCAAGATCATTGGCTTCAGATCTATAATTGAAAAAGTCAGTAAGTGTCTTACTGTGGATGTCTGAGTTTGGAAATTCTGCCCCCCCCCCCAGTGCTGTTTGTGTCTGCAAAGAACAGAACTCTATGCATGTTGCTCACAGATCCTAGTAGTCAGCACTAATTAGACAGGACTGTTCACCTGAACAGAATCCATCTTAAAAAGCTACAGTACAGAAACTATGGAAAAAGAGTTGTTTTAGCTGTAGGTTGCTTAGGAATATCTGCCCCCCAGCAGAAATATGCATTGCTACTAGAAGTAATTTCCAGTTCAGAAGACAAGTCAGACCAGAAGGTAACATAGTAAACATTTACATTATAAGGCATTGGGGTTATAAAACACTAAATAGAATAAAACCCTTCTGAAATGAAGCACTAGTTTAGTTTCCTGATTGATAGAGAGCTTACTAAATGTAATCTTTAGAGTGACCAACATTCTAAAAAGGACCAACCACAGTTTTCTGCAGACACAAACCCCCCCCAAAATGGCTTTTGTCAGCATCTAGTCATCCATACCAGATAGTGCAATTGGCTGTTGATAAGTGAGTGTTGTACTTGTCTATATACACCTGGGGAGAACAAGGGACCAATTCTAACATAGCCAACTTACCCAGAATTCAGAAAATAGAAGGTGCATAACTTCCCAGGCAGTGTTTTTGAAAGCCTCTCTGCATAATTGACCAAGTTGTCATGAAGGTAACGGGAATTGGTATTTAACAGTTGACTTTGTTCATGGGCTGCTTTCACTACAGCAGGGTGACAGTGTCCAACTGCAAGAGAGCGTGTTAGAATGGCTTGAGACTTATTCTGTGTCACCCATGATATTCAGTCCCATGTTAACTTAATGCTTGTATTTCTCTAATAGTACAGAGGTATCAGTGAGGCATTAATAATGCTGTCAGCAGAAGCCAGTGTTGGCACACCTTGTAAGCTTCCTCTAAAAGGCTTTTTCCACCCCCTCGAAATGTTTGAAGTTGCCGGATACTGTACTTTAAGGGTTGTAGTTGATACTGGAAATTGATACACTGGAACAAATAGTGTCTAATTTTGATACTTGGATCTAGGCAGTTACATGATGTGTAGGGGTTTGGGAATGTGTAGTAGGTGAGCTTTACCATCAAAGGATTATTAGCCCTGCTATGGCGTTAGTGACAACACTGACCCATTGGCTAGTTCAAATACAATAGCGAAGTAGCAGCTACTTCCTAATGCATGATTAAGGTACCACACTGAGCAGTGGTCCTGTGACTGTTTGCTTAGCAGTAACTTAACCCAACAGAATGTCAAGCTGTTTGTTAGCTTTACTTTTGCTTTGCTTGCGCTTTCATGGAAAAACGCTGTAACTTTTGGCCAAGCACGTCTCTAGGAAGACAGAACAGGAAGTGAGTCTGGAAAGCACATTCACACACTCAGAAAGTCAAATGTGAGCTGTGATTTCCCAGACTATAGGCTCTGGAAAGGTTTCTCCCACTTTTCCTATTTAAACAAACCTTCCCCCAACACAGTGCTTGGTAAAAAGTACTGATTGTTCCTTGTTGTGCTTAGAAAAACGTGGCATTAAATAACATGACTTTGAACTTACCATGAGCAACGTTGTTGATGCAGTCAAGGTATTGTCTTCCATTCTCATCATACATATACTGGCCTTTTGCCTTGACGATCTTCACAGGATCGTTAGAGAAGAACAGCTTGCAGGAAGAGCTGTGGCATCAGAAAGGAAAATAAATCTTAGTGAAGTCCAGAAGTTGCATAGTTTATTCCACTGGTAATATCTGCAGTTCAGTCAGTTAATGAAGGGAGAGACGTTGCCCCAGTTTGCCATCCTGATTCTGGCTCCTGAAGTTACATTGTGTTAGAATCACAGGGAAAAACATGCTCCAGAACTGAAAAACCTTCACTAGGAATTTAGCCACAGCATTTGGCACCTACCTCTGTAGTTCTATCCAGTCTTAACTGTGGTTCCTTGTGGTCTGTGCTGTTTGCCCTTCATGTCTTGAAACCTTTGTTGGTGTCTCTTACCTTGTGATTGTTTATTATGTACTTGCCCAGGTCCTGATTTCTGGGTAGTGTGTTGCTGAGATTGTTGCATCTGTATAAAGCTTCACTAACCTTAGCTGAAACCTTGGGTGATTTTATAAGGTTGGGTCTGTTCAGTGTGTGTTTGTTTTGTTTCACTTCTTAAATAAGTTGCCAACCAAAATTGAACCAGGTATCTGCGTGAGTTGCAGAGATTTGACTCTTAAGGAGCAATGTCAAATGTTCGTGCTTTGTTTAGTAAAAGATTGCTTATACAAAAATACAATAATTTGACCATAAATACAAAATCATGTTCAAATGAACACCAAAAGACAAGGATAAAATGAGAAACTGCTTCCCTGTCCCTCCTGTACAGGAATTCCTGTGCTTTTTGTGTGAGCTGGCAGTGGAATGGTGAAACAGTTGGGTTTCTGTGAGCTTGTCCTGACTGTTGAGCAGACACTAAGGAAGCACGTAGAGAGGCTGGGGCTTTGTTCCTGGTGTCGGGGCAAATCGGTGAGAAGATGAAATACACGGAGCGGTCTTCTTCAGGTTTTTGCAACTGGCACAATTCTAATTTAAGCATTAACTTGCAGCCCAACTCTTGGATTTATAAAATACATAGAGATTAAAATAGCCTCGGTTTGGAATGCGTAAAGCGCAATGTGAATGCATTCTCAGTTACATACAACAGTTTTACAGCCGCTCCTGGTAGCAACAACTAAATTCTTGAGGTCAGCTGAAGCAATATAAGCAATTAGAAGCTTGGAATAGAGTCTTAGTGCTTCATTCCATCACACTGGGCAGACACGTTGTTAATGTGTCACGGTTCTGGGGTAATAGAAAGTTTTCTGGAGTCCAGGGTGTAGCGCTGGGGAGGTTCAGGCCCATGTCTGCTCCCAGGAGCTGCTTTCTCAGCAGGTTAATGTTTAACCGGGCACGTTAGATACCCCACCAGTGCTCCCCTTCAGTTCTTAACCCCTCCTCCCTAAGAAGCGCTAATCGCTGTTAATCACACCAGTACCATCAGCCTTTGCACGCTAACAGCGCCATGCTGCTGGGTTAACCCTAACCGGAGCTCGGTCGTTTCACCCCCCGGTGGGCTCGGAGCAGCCGTGCTCGCCGCCGCCGTGCGGAGGGCCGGGAGCAGCGGACCGCGCCGAGCCCTGCAGCCCCGTCAGGCGGCGGAGCCGCGCTGCCCCCGGCAGCACTTACCCGATGAGCCGCCGCCGCAGGGCCAGGGTCTCGTCCCGGGAGCGCGGCTCCGGCCTCATGACCGCGATTGGGGGCCTCGGCGGGGCCCGGCCCGGAGCGGAGCCGCCTCCCCCGGCGGGGTCCGGGCTGGGGCGGAGCTCGGCCCGCCCCGCGGCGCCCCCTGCGGGCCGCGCCAAGCGCTGCCGCGGCAGGGCGTCAGTGCAGCGCCCTTATCGCAGCTGCCAGCCCAGCCGCGCCCCGGGGCAGGCTGATTGCGCAGGGAGGAGAGCAGGGGCTCGGGAACTCACCGGGCGCTGAGGCTCCGCCGGCTGCACTGCTGTACGCTTATAGCATCAGGAGCGGTGACTTCGCCTCCGAGGTGCCACAGCACAAACAGGGGAGAAGCTGCAACGGCTGCAGTCCTGCAAGGCGGCTTGTGTAGAAACTGGACCCACAGGGGGTTTGTTGCACCACCGGGTGGTGATTGTGCAGCCCCAGCTTCCAAGCACCTCAGAGGAAGTAACATTTCTCTGGGCTCTTAAGGATCATGATTACAGCTATATCATTATCATTCTGTATTTCTAGGTAGAGAATGTTAAGTTTCTTTTGCAGTTGAAAATAATTTGAGGCAGTAGCTGAGGTGTTACAGCTGTAGTACTTTTTCAACACCTACTTGTGTTGAAGTAAACTCGGTAAAAGTGAAACCAAATCATTGGCAGTGTTGTAGAATCATAGAATAGTTTGGGTTGGAAATGACCTTAAGATTATCAAGTTCCAGCCCCTCTGCCATGGATAGGGACACCTTTACACACTAAACCATGCCACCCATGTACCCTGTGACATGCAGGTAAGACTTGACTGACTAAGAGCCAATCCTAGGACAGGCAGTAGTTAGGATTAAAAGAGGAAACGCTATCATAAGATTAATCATTTCCCTGATCCTGTTTGTTTGGGAAATAGGAATAAAGATAAAGAACCAGAAATGACATTCTGGGATGGGTTGAGTCCTCTGCCACTCAGGGTCTTGTATCCCATAACTGAGTTTATAAACTTAACAAGCTCCATTTTAAAAGATGCCGGATTTCTTTTTTCCTGCCAAGTACATGTTCACATTCTTTTGTTTTAAACTGACAACATCTGTTAACAAGAGTCCAGAAAATGGAGCAAACCCTTTAAAACGACACACTTGGCAGACTGTGTTGCTGACTAAGCATAGCCACCAGTAATTATCTCTAGTTGCAGCTATTTGATAAACACAGGAGCAATTTAAACTTAGTGTAATATGGAAAACCCAGACCCAAATTGCTGGGCATTTAAAGTTAGATTGAACTTAGGAAGTCAAACAGTCTGTGCTTAAAAGTCGGGTTGCAAGTCACAAAAGACAGTGGAGCAAGAGTTAAGAATGACTGTTAATCTTTATTTGAACTCTTGTCTGGTTAAGATACTTATTAGCTATTTATAATAACAACCTGAACATTTACAGTTTGGGAAGTGTACTCTTGGTTACAAATGCAGAGTTCATTGTACATATTCACACAACTGGAAAAGCAATCTGTACAGAGAGACCATTCTTTAAAACCTAGTCTTTGCTTTTATTACAGAAAGCACAAGGAAAACATTTTTGGAGGTCTCAAGCTAATTCATGTACTGTCCATTACAGCTTTAAACTAGAAATACACAATGCAGTACTAATTAATACCATTTTAACATGTTAAAACAATGGCTAAGAAATACTGTTGCTAATGCCTTCATTTTTAAAGTAGTTGTTCCCCAAAGAAATGAGTAAATAGAATACTTCTCATGGCACATAACATGATAAAAGAATCACAGGAGAGTTTGCAAATAGAGATGTTAAGTACATTTTCTGTATTCTTAATATCTATATATATTTTTTCTTTTAAAGGTGATACGTTTTACAGAGATTTAGTCAGCTTTGTGTAAAATACCATGTAAATAACATTCAAAACAAAACCACACAAGGTGTCCAAACTGCACACACACAAATAGCCCTTTCTCCTCTGAACAGCCTTACTGGAGTGATGCAACCACTCCTATAAATAAGGGACACTTGCATAACATGGTAGAGGATTAAGCCCTATCAGCATCATTTCAAAACAAATATAGATAAAAGCACACATTGCATGTATTTCTCTAAGCTGTATACAAACAAGTAAGATTTTCATTTAGATTTTAGATACCAGCAGGTACAGTTTCATTATGTTGATACAGAAATGCTAGTTTTAAAACATCCAAAGGAATTTAATGCAGCAGAACAAATGATTGTCAGGTTTGACTGCAGTGTTTTGTGCTGAACATTCATCATACTGGGTGTTTTTTATAAGATACAAGAAAAGAACCCCAAACAGTAACACAAAAAGTTGCTAGGTTATTAAATGATCCATAAAGCTTCACTCTCTCTATGGAACTAACCAGCAAACACAAGAGGACTACAACCCTCATTCTAGCTGATGGCAGCTTACTACTGCTCCTGCCTAATTTGGCAGTTCAGTGGGTAATGCGGGTGCTTTGCAAAAGCAGGTCCTAGTTAACATAGATGCAGAAATGCAAGTTTGATGTGCCCTCCTCACCGATATGTAATGAATTCATGTAAAATGCACTTTCCAAAGTGAAGCATACAACACAGTGCTTAACAGCATATAAAAATCCAGCAAGTGGTATTAGTATCATTTACAGATACTTGGGACATCTCCATTGTAACTTTCTGTTCATTACTCTCTACATTCCATAAGGAATCCCACACTGACACACAAGTCAACTGCCTGTTCCACAAAGCCACACAACTATGAAGCAACTTCTACAGAATTCAGTGAACAGGGACAGATTGTTGTCCCGAGATGTAGGAAAACCACAAATGTTCATAATGCATTTCTTACTCCACTCTGTTGTCAGTAACACCACTTCTTATGCATTGAAAACTCATGTTTCCCAGCTTTCCTGTGGTTTTTCCCCCAGGCTCTCTATAGCACTATAGAGTCACACAATCTATTAAAGTCCTTCTTCCATTCTTTTCTAAGTGACAGGTTTTCAGCACTTACTTTAGCTGCAGATTACACAACAGACATGTCTTTTTGTTGTGCCTTCTAATGATACCGCAGCCATATGGAAAAGTTGCAGCAGTTCACCTGGGGACGTGACAGTAGTAGGAAGTAATTTTTAGCTGAAAATATGAGTATTAATAAAGGAAAATGAAGTTTAGGAAATGGATTTTTTGCTCACTGGTTTGCTTCAGCCTGCAATAGGTTCCTCAGAGTGAAGCTGTGAGGTATTTCAAACTGTGTTAATTACAGGATTACAGTGAGGGACACAATTAAAAGGCAGGTAAATGACAGACTGGACTGTCCTGTAAGGTCAGTCAGTATAGAGATTGCCTTGGCAGGTTAAAGTGTCTCAGGCCTCTTGACATATATCCAGATACTTCACCCCTCGCTGGAAAAGCTTCCTGGTTAAACAACTGAAGGGTTGGCTGTGCTACTGAGTATGTCAGCAGATACTTAACAGGTGAAACTTTGGAGCTTCAAATGAACTGAAGCAATACTGAGGTTTTTATGCCACCTTTGGACACCTATTGAGGATGCTCCTTGGTGCGTTAGTGTGAGTTGGAACCAAATTCACTGATTTGAATTCAGCCAGATGCCTACAGTGTTTGTTCAGGATAAGTGGTTTGGGGACACATCAATGTTTATATTTTTATCATTTGTTATTATATTTTTGCATATCTTAAATATAAATCTGTTTTCTTTAAAGAACATAATTCAGAGCTTCCATACTCTGAAATGTAAAAGTGGAAACTTGACAGGTAACCTACTACAGACAGCTTTTATTTGTATAACACTTGTTACTGCAACAGTGGCGCTAAGAAAACCCCAAAGACATGAGAGTATGATGGTATTTCCCAAGAAAGAAATACCAGATTTAGAAAAATAGATTAAAGTTTCTATCTGTGCACTCCTGTTTTACAGATGCCTTTTCAAACCATGTAGTTCTGCAAAAGGTGTGTCCACCCCTGTGTGCGCTTTCCATTAAGGGACAGTGTCACAACATTAAATCTGCATTAAATTTGTCCTGTAGTGTAAAATGTGTTTGTCTCTTAAAAGAAGATCTCCTGCAGAGGGCAGCATTAAATCAGTATTCAGTGGCCAGGAAACCTAAGCTCTAACTCTCCTTTATGATGCATATTAAATGTACAGGCTAATAAGGCACAGTTACATTGGCCAAGGATGGTTATTTACCCTTATGATAAAGCTGGAAATTTCTTACTATTATAATTAATATTATAATTATATCTTACTATTTTAATTAAGCTATGCATTATGGATGGGTGAGTTCTTAATTGTGGCCCAAGAGTCTGCTGTGTTTTGCTGACTGCAGAACCGTATGCTACATATAAAAATTCATGGGTTCACTCTGAGCTGTGGGCTGGTGCGATAGTAAACACTGCAGACTGAAATCTCTGCTGGTGTAAATCTAGTTCACTGCTGCAGCCAACACATTTGTGCTTGGTTACAGCAGCTGAAATGGGACACTGAGCTTTGCACATGGGAGGAGAGAAGAAAGGAGGCAAACTAGAACACAGGCTTTCTGGTGTGAAAGCCTTGGTCATCACAAACAGGCTTCCTGGGTTGTGGGTTGTTCTGACAACCTCCAAACCACGGGTAATGAATGACCTGTGTCATTCTCCATGGATTGGTTTTTTGTCATGGGTTGATAGCATGTCTTCAACTGCTGAAACCTCAGATGTGTTTTCACTGCTTTGCTCAAGGATTTTATATGCTGAGTTACATAAAAATTGAAAGTCTGTAATGATGAAATTACAGAAGACAAAAGCTCCCCATAATATTGGCTTCCTAAAAAGAAAACGCATCAGGAAGTCTCTTATCATTAGAAGAAACAGTCTTATTTTTAAAAACACGAGAAAAATCCATTTGGAAATAAATTCATCACCATCATATATACAGCAGGTGTAGAAGCAGTGTGTGCAAAACAGGCAGCACCCCCAGAGAATAAAACAAAGCATATGCCAATGTCTTGTTTTTTAACTAAAATCCCTATACATTAAGGCTTGGAAACAGGTTCAGCTTGGAGTCAAGACTGTATTTTCTCTACCACCTGTTTCATAGCCCAGAGAAATATTCCTGAACTCCCTGGCCAAGTGCACCATTCAGCTGCAGATCTCTCCAGGCCAGATCAAGCTGCCAGCACATTTTCAGCACTGAAGTTACAGACATGGGGGTTATTTTCCCATGTTCCCTTTCCCACAAAAGCTTTCAGGAGCATTCCCAAAGCTGACACTTGGGAGCAGCATCACCTCTCCCGCAGCACCTGGACCAGCCAGTAGCAGCTCTGGTGTTAGTCACGTAATGCATTTGCCATGTACACAGAGCTTTGCAGATGAAAACCTTTTTGGAGGTTTCAAGTGAGATCTTGTGCCCTCAGGATTCAGTTTGGGAACTCTGCTTCCAAAATTGATTAGACTACAGGATGTTAGAATGTTGGTAGTAACTGGAATGATGGTTGTTAGCTACAGTTTTAAATAGGACAAGCCTTAGAGAAAGCTGCTTGCCCTCTGTCCCTGGGCACAGGCAGACATGGTTATCCTTAACATAACAGCAACCACTGTGCTTTCATGGTCAGTTAAACTAGACTGAGGAATTTGGGTTTGTAAACTAGAAAACAAAGATAAAACACCAATTTGACTGGTCTTTAGATTCCCCCAGGATCATCAGGTGTGTTAACTAAAACGTCTATTGTTATGAAGGTAACATATACTTTATCTTTGTCACTAAATCAATTGCTCAGTCTCAGACTGACCTATATTTCACAAGCATTATTAGCAGCCTCCCTATCATCTTTACTGCTGCTGACATCTAGTGGCAACACTCGGCTCTATTTCTGAATTCCTGTAAAACAAGCTATTCTTTCAAACCAGAGCAGGGGGAATAAAGGTTTCCTGGGGGGAAAAAACGCTTTTAAGAGGCTGAGATAATCACTGAGTGTGACTGAGCCTGCCAGTACTACCTACAAGTAAAATTTATCTTCGTGAGCTATTTGCAAACTCAAAAGTATTCAACAAGACCCACATAAACATTTTCATATGGAAGGAAAAAAAGCAATCAACTGATCTGGCGTGGATTTGCTGAGCAAAGCACATCTTTTTTTAACTCTTCCCAGTAAGATCATGACTGAACAAACTGCTCTTCTAAATACGCGTGTGCGGAAGGCACATAAAGTCTACACAGATTTTGTCTTAGACTTTGCAATCCATACAGAAGGCAGCAGTGCCTCTAATGCAGTCTGTTGATGCCCACGGTACAATTAGTAAGGAACACTCAGAAGAGTCAGAATATAAAGGCCAAACACACTGATCTTAGCTGAGAGATGGGAAGGACTTTGAGTGCAGATCACAGCAAAACCCCTTGTACCTTGTTCTGTTCCCAGGAGCTCTGCTTTCCACAGGTCTCACCTGCATTAGCAATGGAAGGGCTTGCTGGAGTAGAAATATCATCAGCAGATCCTCAGAGATCTTCTGGTTAGTCCCTCGTAGCTGGAGTGGCAATGGGTGCTGTGTACAGCAGGATCCATACCTGCCAGCATTTATGATGGAAATGACAGTGGCAGAAGTCCAGAGAAGCTACTGCATGCAGGCTGCAATGTGTATGCATGCAGTCAGACATCTTGAACACCAGAGTTGCTGCAGGTGTATAGGTGGGTCTCCTCTGTGCTGGACTCACCATGTTTGGGATGCAGAACAAACCAATGCAGAGAGGACATTTTCCTGGGAATTTTCTAGGATGATCACTAAAAGGTTTGGCAGCTGAGGTGGTAGCACTGATGGGTATGGGCACCAGAAGCAGTCCTGTACTAGGAAGAGAATTCCAGCCTTCCTCCTTGACTGGCATGGAAATGCTGTGAGTGGTCAGGCTGCAACCCCTTAAACCCCCAGTTAGGTTCAGTTGATGAAAAACATGTTCTCTTCCTCCATCACAAACAAATGTCTTGGGTTCTGTGGCTGCAGAGGAGGCTCTGTGCTGGGAGGGGGATGGCTGCCACGCAGAGCAGTGACAGCAATAGGTAAAGCACTATTCTGGTATTCTGTATCAATGTTTTGCAGGCCTGGCAGTGGTCACAGTTGATGCCTACAAGCACTGGATATTCCACAAGTTGAAGACGGAATACTGACTTGTTTACCTGAAGATAATAGGACTTCGGGGTATTTCCTCAGAGAAAATATAAATTTTAATATAATTTCATAAGCTTTGGAGGTTAGCTTGTCTCGTAGCTTCAGTGATATCAAACTTCTTCAAGTAGGAGCTAGATAGAAAGCTGTTTAGTTTTTGCCAGCGTATGTAAAACAAGACTTTTCTATCTGCATTGTAGATTGTTTGTGGACACTTCCAGATTCTTGTGCTTTCTGCAGTCATTCTGGGGACTGAACTCTCATTGATACCTGTAGAGGTTCCATCAACAGGACACGTGCAGGAATTTGAGTGTAGAAGCCCACAGCGTGGTTTGGAATAGTGAATTGCTTTTAGTTTGGAGATGACTGGGGAAAATGGGAAGAACAACTGTACATTAAGGGAAAAATTACAGATCTTCTTCCCCATGACATCAATGAGAGATTTGCCTTCAACCTTCCAGAGAAGAAGATTTTTAGCTTTAATTTGGGACAGTAAAGGGGTTTTTCAAAAGCACTAAAAGACAGCGGGAGCTCATTCAGCTGCTCCCAATGCCTTTAAAAACCCCGCCACCAAAAGTGATAGCTGACAACATGAAATGGAAGTAAATAAAATGCATTTTCATTGCTGTTTTGAGTTACATAATTCTTGTTTCTTGATTTGTTAGTTGATCTGAATTTACATGGATTTTTCATCTATATGGTGGCCAAGAAAATGGTCAGTAACTGGTAAAGATGCAGAGTACAGCCGCAAAGCAAGCAGTGTGTAGGTGTAGACCCTAAGAGGGTAACAAAACCAGGTAACAGAAGTTCACTGCCTACAGCCATAAGTCTTTTGTGTCCACATCTACCAATCTAGATGGCCTTTCCGGTACCAGCAGATAACAGATGTTCCCAGATGACTTAAAGGCATTCAAGGACACATAGGACCCAGGCACGGATAAGAACTCACAGACATCAGTCAAACGTCACTGCATGGAGCACTGACCATGTTCCTGCTGCTCTTCAGAACACAGAGCAAGAACTCCCTTAGCGCTAGGTCAGCTTGTGCAGACAGATTGCCCCTGGACGGGTGCATCCTTCAAGTCTTCTCTGGCAGCAGCTCCATAAGAGATGCAGCAGAACAAGGATCTAACAGAGGGTTCGGCTCTACTCAATGCACCAGAAATTGCTCCCTTCTGTATTCTCTAAAACCCAGGCCACAAAGAGCCCTGATATTGTGACTGAGCCCTTAATTTCACCCCAAAACGCCCACACAGAGCCTAGCAACTTGTATTGGGCTAAAGTATTTCCTCCAGAAATGAGCATTAAAGTGATGGGGATTACATCACTGGTCTGGTGAGGATTAACCAGTCTCACCATTAAAAAGCCATGTCTGTCTGTATTTGATTTTTGTGTAGCTTTAGCTTCTATCCATTGGATGGATATTTGTACATCTTTCCCTGTTAAGTTTAAAACCTCATTAATAGAATGTGTCTCCTCCCTTTAAAGGAATCTGATTGCTTCTTGATCTTCACTGGAAGCTGAACAGGGTCTGCTGTAAGCGATTTTCCTCCCTGAAATAACTTTTTATGGCTCTTCACTGCACAATCTCTATTCTTTACAACATCTTTAAAAATGAACAGTGGAATAGTTGGCACATTTTTAATTGGATCTCATTTATGCCATATGCAGATACCAAAATCATAATCCTCTTTTCGTTCATTACCCTGCTCTGCATGGGATGTGCCTGAGACAAGGTAACCTAAAGAAAGAGACCGAAAAAGGGGAGAGAAGAAAGAGGACAAGGGGGATGTGCAGAGTTACTGAGTTTACAATTAAAACCATGTGAACCAAGAAAAATCCAATGCAGATGAACCCTACAAACCAAACCAGTTAAATACTCCAAATTCCCATGTTCTGGGAGCCCCAAAAGCAACATTATGTGCTCTGTTGTCTAAGAACAGAATAAAACAGAGCCCTCCCTGTCCTGCAACTCCCTATGCTGAAAGTACCACTGGGTTTTTGTGGTTTGGAATCCTGCAGTGAAGGGTTCTTGAGGAATTCGGGTTCTGCAGTAACCAAGTGCTGGCACATCTTCAGCCACAGACCCAGGACAGGACTCAGAGGTGCTTCCTCTTCATAAAAGCAAGCTTTTCTTGATAGTAGTGGAAATAACCACAAGTAGTCGAGGTGGTTCCATTTAGCCAAAGAATTGCTATTTCCATCCCACCAACAGCAGGTAGCAATGACTGGCTTTGTTTCCTCTGCAAGTTGCAAGTCCTTTTGGTTGACCAGATGATACACACAGCAGCTTCTCCTGCATTTTTAGGGCTGCAGCCTTTTCTCCTTTGTTTTCAGCCAGTTTTTTTCACCCTTTTAATGTGCATGTGCAATGCAAGTACAGAGTTGAGAGGCAAAAGAGGACAGGGATCTCTCCCTCTTTCCATGCGATAAGGCACACGAGGCAACACACTGACCAGTAGTATTAGTTCACACAGCAACACAGCAGTGAACACTGTTCATTCCCAGCTACTGTCAGTGGTACCTGTATCAAATCCTGATGTTATCATGTGTTATCTTATGGGCTTGGGAACTTTACAATATTTTCAGAGTCCAGCAATGACAGAATCCAGTATAAAAAAAGGTCAATATATTACTGTTGAAAGTTTTTTTTTCCTTTTTTTATACAAAATTAAAAAGATCCAAATATATCACATTATTTACATACTGTGCTTCATGCTTAGAGATCACTGAAAAAGAACACACAGATAAACATTGTAATCAGAGAAACGCTCCATTCGTTACTCTTAGGGATCTCATCGTTAGTATTATGAGGATTGGCATTCAGATTTCTTTTCATATTAACTTTACATCCACATGGCTTACCACAGAATTAAAAACTTTTACATGCTAAGGGTGTGCGCAGTTCTAACCAAGGGTTTGCATCCAGTTAGTAACATGCTTGCTGTTATCTCAAACCCTGTCCATATACCGCACGTTTGAAACTGGGTTAGTGGTTCCACTCAGCTTCAGTGCCCTACCTTTGCTGGAGAATGAGGTTACAGCCTCCTACAAGTCTGGATCAAGCCCCAGTCTTACAGGGGGACATGTCTCCTCATTCTGCCTTTATACTTGCAACCTCTGGCTTTTGTGGCTGTGTGAAATGGTAGGAACTCCCTGACCATCCGCACCCAGATTCACCGAGTACTGAAGCCATGTAGTGATGGTGGATTATAATTACAATGGCAGAAAAGTCTTTGTTTGGAAATAAATGTTTTGTAACTCTGCAACAAAGAGTGAATCCACTGTAAAAGTCTCAGCTAGAGGGTATGGGCTAAGTCACACCAGCACATTTTGCAGAGTGATGCAGTCTTTGTATAAGTGGTTCCTAAACTGCCTGGCCCATAATAAAAGCTTAGCCTGAGCAAGCCTGGAAAAAAGGCATTGCTACCCACAGTATCAACAAGAATGATACGTCATTTTTGGTTCCCTAACACCAGCCTATAGCTGTGGGGAACAAGACATGAAGCTAGATGGAACCTTGCCTCTTCTAATGCATGACATATGTCTGCCAAGCATGCAACATGGTGCTTAAAGGATGTGCAGCAGTGCAAACAATCGCCATGCAGCAAACAGAATTACTCAGGACCTGCTCAAGGCTTTACAATTATTAGTACTGTACCTTATGCCAACATCCTGCTACTGGCAGTCCATCTGGTCCCTGCAAAATTGAGAGTACAGACTGAGTTTCCATTGACACTGACTCAGGTGTCAGGACCCCAAAACCTGAAGCTCCGTCTTCACCACAAAAGGTTTAGCAGCACCATTAATTACCATGCAAAACCCCATTTACTTGTATGCACAGAAATAACTATGCAGGCAATGTAACCCGTATTTCACCACACAAAACTGAATACACCCCAGGGTAAGAAAAAACCCAGCCTACGCTTGCTTTTTCCTTCAAACAGAAAGGAATATGTGAACAAATACAGAACTTTGGAAGCACAGTAAATTACCTTCATAATCTGCTTTATAAAACAGTGGGTTTTGCAATCAGACATATATGGAAAGCATGATGTGGAAATGTGTTTTTTTGTTAATATGAGCTTTTTAGTTTGGGGCAGTGATGTAATTTCTGTTCTGGATGATAGCCTTATTGTGTTAAATTCGATCCTGCAGTACTTAGTTTCTTTAAGAGATCTTGCTGAACTGATGGAAATGCCTATGGAAATGGTCATGACTATGACCATTGACTATGGAAGCTATTGAAATAAGCGGACTATGCAAAAGCAGTGAAACTATTCGTCTTGTTCTGATGGAGATAACAAGAAACAGAAATCAAAGCCAGAAGAGCTTACTTACCAGGAGGAAAACACTGAAAAGGAAGGAGCCCCTTAGAAGAGGAACAGACTATGTGTGACCAACTCTTTCAAGATACTTTAGCTGACTTGCGCTGCCTTTTCTGATGCTGGATTTGTTTTAAGGCTCTTGGATCTCTGGTTGCATGAATTTCTGCATGTAGAGCTACAGAGAGCACACATGCACTGACCCTGCCCTCAGAGCCACCTCCACGTTACCCGGGGGTGGAAGCCACGAGGATGCGTGCGCAGCGGAGAGAACTGCCAGTGCAAACACAGGTCAAAACTGCATTTTTACATTTTTTACTGTAAATGTCAGTCATCACATTTTTTGTATTCTGTATTGATTTTATATGTAAAATAGCCTATGCCCAATAAAACAGATGCAGTGAGTAAGGTTACCCTCTCGATGCTCGGAGTGTAACAGGTGGAGTTATTTGCATGTGCTTTCCTGTAACATTAGTTAGAGCACACACACACATTTTTCTGCTGATACCAGTCATATTTTGGGTCATAAGTAGTGCAATTTGTACATTTGTCACAGGTGTCCAGGGTGAAGGGGACAAGATACAGAGCAGTAATTTGACCTAGAAAGGTCCTGATCTGTTAAAGCGCATCCTGATGCCAGTGGGCACAGGGTTGATTTCTGCCCTGGGCTTTTTCTGCCTCCCTTGCACTCAAAATACTTGTGGCCATCACAGAAGTCCACACGTTTCTACCACGCTGCACTTGAGTGATCCCAGAATGACTTGCCAACTTCAAAAGAGCTTTGCAACCTGTGTGAGGCTCATGGTCATGCTCCTGGACTGAAAGCCATCACTGAGAACGCAGCAAGCCTCCACCCTACAGTGGGGTGGAGAATGAAGATGACACTCCCAGAGCCAACATGCAACTAACCCTCATGTGCATAAGCAGGAAGACATGCAAGTGCTTTACTGGCTAATCAATATAGTAGGTTACATATTGGAGAAATCACCTCCTGCAGTTTACAGTGCCTTCAGTACAGATAGTTTTCTATATAGTGTTTTCTATATAGTTAAGATGGGAGATACTTGGTAAACAGAACATCTCTGGGGTTGAAGCGGGCCTGCTGCTAGTAATTGGTTTCTTTGACACATATGAAAGTAATTTAACTTCTTGAAAGAGAGACAGCTTACTGCCCTTTTGTTTCTCTGAAGACAACTGCAAATCATCGAACATGCAGCATTTTCCATGGTCAATAAAATGAAACTAAAACAATGACCTCTTGTAACTCGTTGTGCAGAGCTCTCTTGGGGAGTAGAGCACGAACTTCACTGCGTAACCACTGCCCTTCAACCTGAGGTGCATGCTGACACCACAGATGCAGTGACCTGTTCTCTGCAGAGTTAGCCATTCATTTCAGGAAGGCTTTCCAAAACCTAGCTGGGAATCAGACTTCCAGCAGCACAGGCACAAGGCAACCAAACTGGGCCATAGGTGCTGAGGGAAAGCAGAACTAACTTACCATAAAGGGCAAACATCCCCTAACGTGATCTCCCATTGCTTATATTCCTTATCTAAAGCAATTTTAACTAGGAGGAAGAAGGCACAGCACATCGGCATCCTCCCCTGTGAATGCCTGAGTGAAACATCTTGTTCCAGCCCTGCTGCCTGATGTCCCTTCCTCTCCCTGGAGGGGTTCACTGGAACAGGGCTTGGCCACAGCAGAAACACACACAAGCCATGCAAGAAGAGGAAAGAGAGCAGATACTGTACCAAAGGGCAGGGCACGCTCACCCCATCCAGGCCTGGTAAACCTGGGTCCCTTGTGCAGCCTGCAATGCTGCGATCTGCCTGTTTGGAAACACAACTGCTTGTTGAGAGGGAGAAAGGGCACGGGAGTTACTCAGACTCCAGGACTTTGCACCTTTATTTCTGATAAAGCAAGTCAGCAGAGGGGTTTATGGCAGGGAATTCACAGGCACACAGAGCCTGTCATCTGGGAAAGATCTTCTATACACTAACCAGAGATTCACATTTGTAACAGCGCAGTGAAAAGGATGAGGGTTAAATCATCCAACATGTTGAGGGAGGAAGGGTGATCCGTCAGGAGCAATCAGATTAATTGTAGTTCACATTCAATCTCAGAGAAAAATAAAGCGTAGTGGCTGGAAGAGGTTTTTGCAGGGATCGTGGAGCTGTACAACAGCTTTGATGGACAAAACTGTGCTGACAGGGTGAGAAAAAGTCACTTTTAGACAAGAAATGGGGGTTTGGAGCCTGTTGGAGCAGGTACCTGGCACTACAAGTTACATGCCTCTGGACTAAGGTCCAACAGCCACATTTAAGGCCAGTTTGGATGAGGCTTGCAGCAACCTGCTCTAGTGGAAGGTGTCCCTGCCTGTGGCAGGGGGTTGGAACTGGATGAGCTTTAAGGTCCCTTCCAATCCAAACCATATGATTCTGTGCTTTAAGAAGTTTCCAACTGATAAAAATGCCTCAAAGCATTTAAGGGAAAGGATCTCTCTGGTTTTAGTCATCATATGAAAAGCAGTGATGGAGGAGGTAGATTTTACCAGGCCAAGTAACTTATTATAAACCAGGACAGGTTTTTTTTCTGGGCACTGTCAAAGGAATGATTGGTTCTGGAAGTGGACGTGGGAGATCCACCTTCCTTGGGCTCAAACACACAGGAGTTAGCTGGAAAGCCTCTCTGTGCACACACTGCTCAGTGATGGACCAGGCTGTGTTCAGGAAGGGACAGGTCTGAGCCAGTCTCTTCTCCCAGAGGTGCTTTTTGGCATCCTGAGGAGCTCCAGCTCCTCCATCACTTACCTTTGGCAGCACCAAGATGCCACCAGCTCTGAACCACATCCCCACACAGCAGCGAGAGCCAGGCTCACCCCTCGCTTGGTTTGCGGAGATGAAGGGATGGAGCTGACCTTGCTTTCTAACTCCATCCACTGCACTGAGTTATTCCCCAATTTCCAATGTACTCAAAAGCCAGGCCAGCAGCTTCACCAGGGCGCACTATCTCCCGAAGAGCGTTACTGAAGCCCATTGTTCCCGACTACAATAAGAAGGTCTTTATACAAAGATTCTTTCTTTTTACTGCTGTGGCTTGCTCCCATCTGGCCAGTGAGGAGCCCTCAGAGCGAGCAGGGAGCTTCCAGCAGTGCAGATAAACCATTAGGAAAAGTGAGAAAACAATAACCATCTGCTCTGATTTACTGCAGAATAAAGAACGAACCGAGCCCTCCCTCCCTTTGCCTGGCTGCAAACCCACGTCTCCTTTCCCATCCCGGCAACGCGTGCTTAGGATGAGTGAAATAAAGGACGTACCACGGGGCAAGGCTGATCCAGTCCGGGGGGGCCTGGTTCCCCCTTCTGCCCTTTGGCTCCTTTTCTGCCCGGTATTCCTCGCTCACCCTGTTGGCACAGCAGGAAGGCATCAGAAGCACCTTGGCTGCGAGTCACACAGCACTTGCAGAATCCCACCCCTCACCCAGAGCAGGGGTGTTTGTACCAGTGTAAGCACACCTGGGCAGTTAAAGCACTGTGAACACCTGCAGTTAAAGCTGTGTGGAGACATTTTAATAGATAATTTGGTAACAGAATGATTAAATGACTGGTTTCTGCTATGTGACAGCGGGAGCATCAGCTTCCAGCACTGCCCTGTGCTCAGATGAGTTCCTGTCTCTGGCTGGGCATCTCTTTATTTGAGGATCCCTGAACAAAGCCTTTGACTCTGGTCCATTTTCAAGGTCTATAAACCCAAACTAGCAATTCTTTATAACCTGGAGCTGTCAGGGTGCTCCATTTCCCCACAATGGTTGTGCTGGAGGGGGGCAGGATTGCAGAAAGCATTTCCCAACGGGTGGGAATTAACTGGATGTCCTGCCCTATGCTGGGACCAAGCAAATACTTGTGCACAGAGAAGGCCTTACAGGGATGACCAAACACAGCCAGGCTGGATGGGGAACCAGCACCCAGGGCAAGAGCATCATCCTACCCTACAGCCAGAACCCACTCACCTTCTCGCCTCTTTCACTTCGCTCTCCTTTCTCTCCTCTGAGACCTGGGAAACCCTGTCACAACCAGTTTTAGGTGGAGAAGGGGAAGAAAAGAGGTTGGCGTGTTTAGTGTGTGAAACTAAACTTCCTCAGCTCAACATAAGCAATCTCCAGCAACCAACCCATCCTCCCATGGTGAAGAATATGATACTTTCTTCCCAATGACTTGATATGCCATCAGTTTCTAATGAAAGCTGGTGCTTTACCATACCCCAGTAACATTGCAGCTATTAGAGTCTTATTTCGCTGAATCCAAGTATTCTCAATTGGAAAGGGAAACCCCCACAGCATCTTTAGCTGAGCAGTTTCTGCTGTGCAATGGAATAATCTATTAACTGGCCTCAATTAAGCCCTTTCCTGCAGACATTGTTCCATAGGCATCATGTTTAAGGGACAGCAGTCTATAAAGGGTTAGATACATACTTCTCTAATAATCTCAAGCAGTTTGATGGCCTTTACCCATGCGTTCATGTTTCTACATATCACAATGAATGTTTTCCATACTCACATCCAATCCTGGCTCCCCCGGCTTTCCCTGCAGTGGTAAAAATACAAGTTAAGACATGCTGTATCCAGTTTGTTTTTGCAGCAAGCTTATACCCAGTTAGTGAAATACAGTGCGCGCTCAACAGCCCTTGGGCTTGAAGGGGAGCCCCTCACCACACATTGGGGTAGTGCTGGTAATCCCAGCTCTGCTGGGACCCACTATGGAAGGAGTTTACAGCCCCTCTTTTAGGATTCCACCACAGCATCACTATTGCTTTCCCACACTGATAGTTACCTTCTCTCCTTTGGTACCGGGTAAACCGATGAGCCCTGGAGCACCCGGGAGACCCTTGGAGAAAGGAGATAACACAGCATTGGGATAACTGCTTTACAGGGTTCTCTTGATGGCCAGAAATGAGACACAGGAAAACAACTCACAGCGGGTCCAGTGTGGCCATGGTCGCCCTTCTCCCCACTGTCACCTTTTTCTCCCTTTGCACCATCCAAGCCCTGCAGAAATGAATTGGCATCAGGCAAGATGACCTGGCAGCTCTGCCTCCTTATGCATCCACCACCTGCTGCCACATCTCTAGGGTGCTTATACCCCTGCTGCTGTTAGTGCCTTCCTCTTGACTGCGTCATATAAGGAAGCAGTTGTAAATACAGGTTTATGCTGTGGGTTTGGAAGCCCTGACTTGCATGTGCCAGTGGCTCCCAGGACTGTGCTGGAAGGAGATTTAGGATCGTAAATGTGTTTGGAAGGAGAAATAGCCTGTTTGCTGCAACGCCAAACTGCTCAACAGCATCACCAAGGGATGTGTTGTCACAGAAACATCAGTCCCCAGAGCTGACAGCCCTTTGTGAGCCTGTAAATAATGCACTGGCAGCCGGGGAACAGTGGGTGACATTTCATTTATTGACTTACTTTAGGCCCCTGGATTCCTGGAGGACCCTGCAGGAAAGACAATGGTGCATTTGAGCTAAAGACAATTTCAGAACCGAGCCCCAAAGGTTGCTTCCCAAACCATTTCTTGCTCAAATCATGGGCTGACAATGGCCAAATACTTCTTTTCAAGACAGGTGGCAAAAGATTCTGACGTCAAATCAGGAGGGAAAAGGAACTGGAAAAGAGCACTTTGTGACAATAAAGCTCTGCAACACGAGCTGTGCTGAATGAAGTGACAGCAAGCTCTGGAGGGTGGCATCCTGCCACCGTGGCCCTCCAAGCCTGGCACATCCTGGCCTTTCTGATGCCCCTGACAGCTCCTCAGCCTTTTGGAGCATCGTAGGTACCAAACACCTTAGAGCTCTGCACCAAAACTGCTCATCACCACCCGCATCCTCGCCCACTGCAGTTGATGCCACAAAACTTAATGACTTGGGTAAATTGATGGGAATACAGACACTACTGTGGTAGGGAACAGGCTTTCCCATCACAACGTTTTCTCTTGTCCCCATTCCAAGCAACAACTTGGTTATTTGCAAAATGTGCCATAAACACGGATGTACTCTCCTAAATCAGGTGCTTCCAAAGACAGCTCATAATGCTGCAGCTGATTTTGATCCCAGATCCACAGCAGCCCACACGGATTAAACAGAGCAAAACGCCCTCCTCCTTAACTAATCACTTGTGATAACACCTCTGCAGCGATGCTCAATTGCACAAGCTGCTTCCCAGAGTCCTACCATAGGGCCAGGTAATCCAGGCGGTCCAGGCTCAGGTATGATCTGCAGAAGGGAATTAAACAGCATGTGAATGGGACACAGAGACAAGATAGTTTGGGAATGGAAACCTCACGTGGCCCAGCATCATGATTTAGTGCCCTCTGATTTAATAGCTTTAATCCAAAATATCTGCTAATCGCGGTTGCTTGTAGCATGAATAAATAAAGGAATCTTAATAAGCACATGAATCAAGCTGGGCTCTGGAATGAGAAGTGTGAGCCATGATACTCCGTGTATCTGCCAGCCACAGAGTGGATGCAATGGAAAATGATGCCACTTTGTGCACAGACCAGAGGGAAGCAGCCTTTTTGATTAAAACTCCCCGCAAAAGCAGAACAAAACTGGAGCTCTTATGTCACTAAGATCTATCAAACCCCACCACTTTGGCTTAAAAGAAGAAGGCATAAGGGAAAAAGGATGCTGAAATGCTATAAAACTGCAAGGAGCCCTGTTTGTTTTCAGAACAAAACACAGTTCCAACAGCAGCATCCAATATCTCAACCACTGATTCAAAACCTAAAGCATATTTGCAGTGCCAAGCGTGCAGAGCGTTCTTCCCACACAGATAAACCCCATTTAGACACATCTGGAAGTTCTTGTAGCAAAGTACAAGCTCTTGCAGTTGGGTTTTGCTCCCCTTCGCTCTGGGGATGGATGTGGGACTGGCATCTCCAGCCTGCACCCCCCAACCTCCCCTCACCCCTCATTATGGAATAGGCTTTAAGTTGCCCAGATCTTACGTGATTGTTCTGCAAACACGGTGACCCTGTGTCCCCTTTGTCTCCTTTGTCTCCTTTTGGTCCTTCTGCTCCCTAAAGGATAGAAATGGAACACTGATGTGGTGCATCCCCCAGGAGCACAAAAACAGGAGAGAAAAACACATTTGTCTTCCTCTAAACTCGAGCAAAGCTCATGTTCATCCCCAGGGGGCTTTAAGAAAGCATTTTCTTCTTACTACTGGCTTAGATCCCATTCTGAATAAGCTGTTATCATCATTAGCAAAGGAAATGCAAAGCTCCTGCATCCTCCAGTGCAGCTGTAACGTATGGACAGGCCACTGCTTAACCCAGCAAGCCCTGCCTTACCCTGAGCACTTGCAGACATCAATACATAGAAGAACCAAGCAGCGGATGTAGAGAGACAGAGAGGGACGTACCGGTGGACCTGCTAAGCCCATTTCTCCTGTCTCTCCTTTCTGTCCTGTGATGCCCACGCTGCCCTGGTCACCCTTCGCTCCTTTGGGACCCTGGAAGTTTACAGGGAACAACTCACTTGAAGGAAAACCACTTAGAAACCATTCAGAAACAGCCTTTCTGCTGCTTCTCCCCATACTGCAGCACCAGCTCACGAAAACATATGTAAAACTTACATATGCCATTTTTGCAGGCGCAGCAGAATTTGGCTGGGCCATAGCAGGGACTGCAGCCGCTTAGGGTTGGGAGGGTTTACAACAGAGTTTGATGTGTTTGATGAGCCACTCATAACAGGAGCCCCTCTAGCTTGGCAGATGTGGTCACAAGCAGCATCTGCATGCCCATAGCTGGGCATGGGGCCATAGGCAAAAGGTGGTTAATGTAAGAAGATGCAGCTGAACACTGGAGCCTGTAGGGATGCTGGGGAGGGACTCTTCATTAGGGACTGTAGTGATAGGACAAGGGGTAACGGGTTAAAACTTAAACAGGGGAAGTTCAGATTGGATATAAGGAGGAAATTCTTTCCTGTGAGGGTGGTGAGGCACTGGAATGGGTTGCCCAGGGAGGTTGTGAATGCTCCATCCCTGGCAGTGTTCAAGGCCAGGTTGGACAGAGCCTTGGGTGAGATGGTTTAGTGTGAGGTGTCCCTGCCCATGGCAGGGGGGTTGGAGCTGGATGATCTTAAGGTCCTTTCCAACCCTAACGATTCTATGATTCTATGATTACGGGGCAGAGCTTGCTCTTGGAAGGCTGAGATTTGCTTTTCACAGCGACAGCTCTCACAGACACACAATAAACCCCTTTCTAAGTCTCACTTGATGCAGCCATGCCCCACGCACCTTCTCACCATCCAGCCCAGGTGGACCCGGCAAGCCCAGCTCTCCCTGCAGAGACACAAAGAAAGGGGGGCCCATGGTAAATGGAATGAGGGAATCATCCCAGAGAAACATTCTGGAAGGAAACGAGCTGTTCACTTGTATCAGCAGTTGTGGGTTTGCCATTAGCAGGCTGCGGAGCAGAGGTAAGAATGCTTCATAGAATGGTTTGGCTTGGAGACACTCGCTACATGAAGAACCACTGACGACCACATCACCCTGTAGGAAACACTGTGTGCATGGCAGAGATTGGGCTCACCTTTGGACCCGGAGCGCCTTGGGGGCCCGGTGGCCCTGGGGGACCTGGCGAACCCTGAAACACAGCAAACAAAACGGGGATGAGCATGATGAACATGGCACATTATCCTTGGGTGAGCTGGGAGCATAACTCGGAACTTGTGAATTATCTCAAGCAGCAAAACCTCATGTTGTCGCTCAGCTGAAAACCAAACCAGCATCACCTCCTCAAGCACCTTTCCCATGACTGCACACTCCGATGCTGTGACATTCAGTCACAGCGGAAGCCTTTGCAAAGCTCTGCCCATGAGACAGGTCAGTGCACAAACACTGCAAACAGCAGGGAAACGGGAACGTTAGTGAGGTTCAGTGGTGTGCCCTTTGGCAATCTCCACATGCAGAACACGGGAGAGGGGCTGGGCCCAGCACATGAAGTCTCTCCCGACATTTGATGGAGCCTTTCCAACCACTGCAATTCACAAACCCCGCTCACAAAGCTGCATGCAGACACCTGGCAAACGGTAGTTACCATCACTTTGTGTATCCCTGCAGCCTGTGGTGAAACAATGAGAACGGGTCTCTAACATATCTGCATTGATTCTATTCAGCTTCTTCCATCATAATGAAAATAGCAGGGTGCTGCTGGGTCGGGCAGGTTAGGGCTCAGGCATCATTTCCCTTCCTCTGGCATCCCAACCACTGCTTGCAAACAAAACCACTCCAGAGGATGCAGAGGGAAAACCACAGCTCCACAACGTGCCATGGGAATAACAGCCCAGGACCTGCAGCCTTTGAGCTGTAATCACTGCATCACTTGCTCTATGTCACAGGCTGTGTCAGGGGTTGCTTTGACCTGTAGAATATTAACTCACATCCCACAGGTGGATCCCACCATCCTGGTACCCAGCCTGAGCTCCCAGCCTTGAGTTCCGCCACCGTTTTTCCTGGTACATCCTAAATATCCTCAGCCCCCAGATGAAACAAACTCCTGTCATTCCCCATTAACTCACAGGAATCAGCACAGCCTTGGAGCAGGGCTTACCTTAAGAGCATCCAGGATTCGGCCGTCATAGTCAATCACTACAGTGTCACCCTGCTCCCCTTTCAGGCCGGGGGGACCCTGCAACCAGGACGAACCCTATTTAGTTTTGCAGCATCTGAGGAGCGGGTGGAATGAAAGCAGAGACCTGACCCCCCAGGGTTTGGGGATCACCTTAAAACACTATTGATTTAATCCATTCCCAGTCTGAAAGCTCTAACTGGCATCCAACCAAACCTCACAAGGGCTTAATCCACTTAATGAAGACTTATGCTTGAGCACTGCCAGGGATGGGGCAGCCACAGCCTCTCTGGGCACCCTGTGCCAGCGCCTCAGCACCCTCACAGGGAAAAACTACTTCCTAATGTCTCCCATGGCAGTGTTCAGTACCCACATACGGGTTGGTTTAAATAAGCACCATCTCTGTTTTCTAGCACTGAACTGATCCTGAAGCGATTCAGCCACAGACTAAGCAGAAAGAGGTGGTGGGGAACACAGCTCAGGTCGAGGCAAATACACAATTCCAGACTGAAAAAGCAAAACCCTGAGCATCCATACCCGTGGTCCGATGGAGCCAACTCCTCCCTTCTCACCAGGCTCACCCTGGAAAGCAAAATCACATTTTTGGGTCAAAGAGACCAAGGAAAACAGAGGCTATTTATGTTTAAAACACTGCAGCCACACGAGATGCCAAGGTATGGTTTAGATTAGGAAACAGAATGGCACCAACAGGGAACTGCTTCTAGCAACAAAACCTAGATCTGAATTCAGAGCAATTATATTTTTGCATAAAATAACGTTGGTTTGAGCTAGTTGACAGCAAGAAAACATCTCATTGCAGATGAGATGGAGAAGAGTGGCGTGCTCGGGGCTGAGCGTCCTGTATCCCCATAAGGGTGATGTGCGGTGCTGCTCCCTGGCTCCACTGTTTGCTCCGAGCGTGCCAAGCTCCAGCTCTTCGTGCTGAAGCTTCACACGGCTCCACCTTTGCTTCAGGCTGAATTCTGCACGTGTGGAAAGTTTTAGCTGACACATTTAAACCATTTCTGAGGGTGGGTTTACGGAAAAGGCTCTGCCAGATTCCCTCCCCCCATTTGCTGGTCAAATTAAAGCCCTCTTAAAAGTAGAAAATGGTATAAACAGAAAGAGTCTCCATAGGAAAACTCCATTCAGCAAATACCATGGGGAACAAGCACTGCTAATGTGGTTTTAGTGAAAACTCAATGGCTAAGGGTCACCTGAGCCCACGTTTCCTCCTCATACACAGTTTTTTTCCCAACAAGGAGCCGTGACTGATATGGAAACACATCCTGCTAAACAAGAAGCAGCTGAGGAGGGAATTAACAGCCCACAAATGCTGTCTAGGTCTCACCATCCCCACTTAACATACCAACATCTCCTATTGCATTGCTTGGCAGTAATGAAGATCAATAGAACAGGATGGCACGTAAGCGCGCTGGGCTTTGAAGTGATGCCGCAGCCCTCAATGCATCCCATCCACATGCGAGCAGAGATTTAGTTCCTTGGGGAAACCCAGGCAACTCAATGAAAAACAACTTAAAAGCCCTGACACTGATCTCTGCTTGAACGCAGCTTTCATTGAATTACCAGAAAAAGCTAAAATACTTCTTGGCATCCTCCCGATTTGCTTCAGTTTGGGCACTTTATGAGCCTTTCAGAGGCAAAGGCCTAAAATACCCCCCTCATCTGAAACCCTGGGCCTCATCAGTGCCGTGCCCAGCTTCCCAGCTCATGGGCTTTTATTTACCTTGGGACCTGGCAAGCCATCTGTGCCATTCTCTCCCTTGGGACCCACGCTTCCTTTTTCTCCCTGAAAACAAGACAGTTTGGACAAATGTTATAATGGGTAGGATGGAGAACAGATTTATTCAGGCTACAATTGTCTTGCTTTACCTTTACTTTTACATACACGAGTGAGCAAAGCTCTCCTTTTAGCCTGAAATACATCACATTGCCTAAGTGCAAAAGGGGAGGTTTTGAGATATACATGAAGCTTTCAGCCTTAATGGCTATAGGTGGGATGTTCAGCCGTAAAGTTAGCCCCAAAACCACACCCCACTGCACACACATCCCAAACCCCAGCTCCAGGCCAGCCCCAGCAGCAGTCCCCCATTTACTTCTGCAAGAGGAGCCTCTAAATGGCAATTCTCTGCCATAGCCAACAAGTTGCATTTACAAACTCCTGCAGCGGCAGAGGGTGCGTTATGCTTCTCTCACTTTCTTTTGTTCTTTCTTCACGTTACAGAATGGGTTGGATTGGGAGAAATGTGCTCCTCAACCTGCCCCAGCTGTGATACTGTGCCAAGGAAACACACAGCAAAAGATGCTGTCGAGCACATACATTAGATGGGCACAGCGCAGAACATACCTTAGGGCCCGTAAGTCCTGGCTCCCCAGGGACCCCATCATCACCCTGATGAAACAAAAAGTGAAACACAAAGAGCTTGTACGCACTCGTCATAGGATCCAGCATCATTTGACCCCTCTCAGCGTTGCATGGACCTGAGACCCACTCAGGTTTGCAGGAGAAAGATACAGGAAGGAGCCCAGGAAGCTCCAAGTGTGGTCCCCTGCTCCCGCCCATCTCTGCCTCCCCTGCTTCCATGGAGATGGATGGGATCTCCCAGAATTTCCTTACAGCAGGCCCTGGGGAAGGTGCAATCCCATTTTTAAAAGAAATTGGATATTTAATCCATTTAGGTTCTTTTTTTTTAGCTCAAAGACCTCCTGCAAGCTGCCACCCATCCTCATGGCCTTCATCAGCACGCCCATCTGCAGGTTTCCTTGTTCCACTCATCGATGCTCCATTGTTCTCTTGGAGTAAAACCACTCCATAGGTGCTGAAGAGGTTAATTTTACTGGCCAGTTATGAACTTTTTTAGGCCAAATTCTAGCCTGGAAATCACCCATGGCCACCTCTGTTTTGGGGCAAAGCAGTAAGAGGGAAAGGCTGGGCCCTGTCAGCGCTTTGCTTCAGTTAAAAGCAGTGATTTATCCATTGCTTGGTGGCACCACCAGAAGGAAACATGGAGAACTGGGGCATGCAAACCTCCTGCAGTCTTCAGCACCCTACCCAAGCAGTGTGCCTGTCCTTAAGAGAGTGGCAATCCTCATCAGGCTGAGGTGCTGTGTGATGATGTCTGCCCCAGGAAGCTCAAACCCATCCAGGGAGCCCTGAGCAGAAAACAGTCCCCAGGCGCTTCTTGGTTCGGCTTGAGTTATTGGAGAGAAAGGGCTCAAGACCTACTGCTTTGTTTGGCATTTGTTGCTTCATTCTTTGTCTATTGGGCAGATGGGATTGCAGCTTCTGGCTGGTTTGGGGTAATGAAAACCAGGCTGCAGGCACAGCCATGCCCATGCTTTGGGGTTGCTCGGGAGAGAAACGTCAGGGAACACAAGGAAAGGTTTGGTATGGACAGCTACAACCATGGACCCATTGGTCTCTGGCAGTGGTTTCCTTAGTTGAGCACAGAGCAGAGCAAAAGGAAATAACAACAACTATATGTATATATGTATAAATAAGTGACTATTTTACCTTTTTCCCTTGGACACCAGGCTCACCCTTCAACAGCAACACGCACAGAGGAGACAAGTTTAGGGACATAACAGAAAATAAGCCCAATTGTATGGATAGTCAAAGTCAATTGTAACATTAAAATACTTGGCTTGTGTTGATCATCTTGATCCCCCCCCCCCAAAAATGCATTTCCCAGATTCCCACAGCACACCAGTTCCAGCCCCCTTGCCTCCCTCCACTCAAGGTTTTAGCACAGGCAATGGTTGTGACACTGGGTAGGTGACACATTAAGGCATTGGCAGCTCAAAGACAACGGCTGATGCAATACCTTAGAAGTGTTTGTGTCTGATACGAGCTGATGAGTACAAGTCCAGTGCAAAATAGGTATGTTCAAGATGTCAAGAATTCCTGTTAAAATCAGGCAGATGAGAAATTACCCATCACCCACCTTTGGTCCTGGAGGTCCCCTGGCACCCTGTTGAAAAGAAGAGCAGTAGTTTGACAACACAGTATACAGGATAAAAACACTCCCACCAGATGCCAACTTCTCACCTTCCCTTACAAATCCAGCCATAAGGTCTCTGTCCTCCCAATAAATAACATATATTCTTTGTGTCTTGTGTATTTTATGTATAATGAGCACCTCTTTATCCAACCTAGCCTGTAGTGGAGTCACAATGCCAAGATGCTGCAGAGGGGCAGAAGTGGGGATAGAGGAGCAGTACATCCCTCCAGAGGAACCAAGGGGTCAAAGACTGGTCTCTCTTTTCCCCAGGGCACAGGTACCCCTGGGGAAGCATCTATTTTAGTGCACCTGTAATTCCCCATGGGGTTTTCTTTGCCCTCCATAAGCAATGACACAAACCCAGCACTGAGCTGAAGAGGGATGTAAAGTGAAGGGGACAAGGGACATGCACACGTGGGTGCTCCTGGGCAATACTAACCACAAGGCCTTCCTCTCCTGGCTCTCCTTTGAGACCCTGCAAAATAGAAAGGCCGACATTGAAGCTATTGCCCCAGTTCTCCAGAGTGCTCATCCACAATCTGAATGTTCAACAACCTTATGTTTCAGCCTATTTTCTTTGATTCAATTGATTGCCAGTGATCTGGAGACTTGCAACAGGTCATCCAATGGCTACAGACTGGGGAAAGAGATCTCTGGGCTCTCCCAGTTACAACCAGCACCTGCAAATACGTGCTCCAGGTCCAGCTCTCTGCTCCAAAACCAAAGATGGAATGATGGAATATCACCTCCTGCTCCCTTGGCCCCATGCCCCGAGGCTTTGCAGTATGAGCAGCATCAGCATGGCTCAGACTGGGGACCCAGTGGCTGGGGGGGGCATCACTGGGATAGGGGACACCCTTCACCCTCCTCTTCCTCACTGGGGTGGGCACTGCCTGGCGTGTGTTCACTGCGCATCTCCCATCCTTACAGGGGGGCCTGGAGGTCCTCTTGGGCCATCTTTTCCCGTGTCACCAGGAGGACCCCGGGCCCCTGGGGGTCCTGGTGGACCAGGGGGACCAGTGGCTCCATCTCGACCTTGATCACCCTGAAAGAAGTTCACACAGACACGGTGAGGTGAAGCTGTGCTGGGAAGCGATGGTGGCGACACATGCACAGCATCCCTGGGCCATCAGCACCCTGACTAACGCCGTCATGGAGTTACAGCTTCCAATTGGGAAGGCTGGAAGTGAGCTCATGGCCAATTCGCACCCTTTGGGTCTGGCTTCTTAACCAGGATTTTGCTCAATGCCTTCCAATGAGGTTTTAGCTCGTTAAGTGCTTGCCCAGTGACTGTCTGCATGGGAACTACTAGAAATAACCAGACTCAACAACATGCTGGCATGGGGCATGCACACACTGCCATGGCTCAGTGCATCACACAAGAACACCCAACAAAAACAAGCAGCACTTCAGTTGCATCCTTTAAATACAGCCAAGGTCATTTACGAACACCCAGCGTAGGTCACACTCTGCATTGCCTGGGTGCAAAGGAAACAGCAGCGCATGTATCTACATGTGATTGTGAAGGTTTAGTGGGTCTGGAGGGGTGCTCCCCATGGGGCTTCACCACCCAGTTATCAGTTCCCAACCCACCCAGAGCTCTGGCTGGTCACATCCCTGTGGATGCACAATGGAAAGCCTCACGGAAAGGCCACCTCATAAATCTTCTAGCAACATCTGGAAGAGTCACCGCTGAGGCAGTGAGAGGACTGGGTTTAATATGTGGTCTGCCCTCAAACCGGGGACAAGTGTGGGACTTTTCACAAGTCCTTAAGTGACTTAGCAGCACAGATCCCATGGCCTTTCAACAAGATCCATGCTCCTAAATCACTTGCATGCTAGGGGAAAAAAAGCCCATTGCAAATGCTGAACACTGCATCCAATTATGTCAAGAGTCACCGATTTTTGCCCGATTATAACGTCACATTTAGAGTAGGGAGATTCACAGAACTCTAGTTTTAAGGCATTTTATTTTGCCAGCACTGTTCATATCAACACCTACAGGACATCGCTGCTTGATTCCCAGTTCTCAAAGCACCGATACATCACTTTCATGTCTCCCTGCTTTGACAAAACTCCCCTTAAACTCCAATGGGGTTTCACTCGGGCACACTCCCAACAAGCGCTTCTGAACATCCTCGTAACAATAGTGCATTACCAGCCAGAAAGAAGTGACAAAAGCAACTCAAAGAATCACAGCAAACCAGCGGAGCACATTTGATAGGTCTACCTTGAGCACTCGCCGGCTAAAGACAAGTTGATCATTAGCCAGAAATCCATGATTGAGGTGAGGAAAAACCATCTAACCGGGTAAAGTGGGAGGTAGAGGAAGAAAGAGCAAGAGTTGAAGATGAAATCACAGCAGAAAAGTGAGTTTCAAAGGCTGTAATAATAATATCACATCTTTTCTCTGATAATTAATTGCTGCATGAGGAAAAATAATGTAGGTAGCCAACAGTGGTTGTTTTAATGTTCTGGATACACTGAAGCTTAGTAGTTAGTAAACAGAGGGAAACAAGTATCTTTTCATTAGTTTACTGCACAATAGGACATTCAAAGCAGCTGGGGTACAGAGGATTCCCCTGCTGCAGGGCTTTCTGCAGAATAAAGAGCATTATTCCAGTAGACCCCATAGGGATATATCCCAGCATTTCTCCTGACACCAAATACTATCTCTTTTTCAGAGGCTAAAACGAATACTAATGTATTCCCCAGCCTGTAAAATGCAGATAAATCTCTCAGACTTATACGATGCAAAAACCCAATGTATTCAGACCATGTCAGTAGTCATTGCTATTGTCTTTTAGCCTTTCCACTGATCTATCTAGGGAGGAGAGACATTTCCTTTCTCAGGACACTGCTTGCGTCTCCCTTTCCCCCCATCCATCCCTGCACACATCCACAGGAGGACCAAAGGGATGGTGAAAAGCCACAGGCAGCTCTGTGGGAACACAGAGCACACCCCCCATGAAGGTTTTGGAAGGTTTCTAAGGAACAAACCTCTTATCCATTCATCCAGGGACCTTTTACATCCCCCTAAACCTGAGTTTTGGGTCAATATTGCACAGACAAACCCACCTCCTGCCCAGCTCCCAGGACAAGCTCAGCAGCAGGCGTGCGTAGGTACATTGAGCATGGATGTTCTAACACAGCCATCTCAGAAAGGGAGGGGAAAGGCAGTGGCATGTTAAAAACTGATGAGCCCTGGCAAATAAACCCCTCCCAGTGATTTCTTTCAAGCCATTCTGGGGAGGAACAATGCTGAAAAGCCCAAGTTGATGGCACGATAAATGAATGGGGACACAGAGTCCTGGTGCTCGGCCAGACCTTCCAGATACTACAGAAACCAAAAAGGCTCTACTGGGAGCAAAGGGTTTTGTGGTAGACTCAAAGCACCAAGTTTTATGGCTTCTTATGTGCACAAAGATACACAAGAGCATTAAGTGGGATTTGCAGAAAAGACCAAGAAGTAAGACGTGAGCTGAAGCCTTTTTCTTACCCCTCAGATTGCTGAACACCATCCAAGTAAACACTTTCCAAGCTCAGGGAGCGAGTCTGGTTTATAAACCGGTCCTTTTCATTAGCATAGCAATGTATTTGATTTCAAGAGAGGAGTACAAGCACAAGTGTCAGGGCACAGGCCCAGCCTTGGCCGCATCCTGCTTCAACTCCCTCGTTCCAACCTGGAGCAGAGGGAATCTGTTCTTGCTGCCTCCTTTTAAATACACTCATATGCACTTTGTCAGTGTCTGGTTGTGTTTATTGCCCATCCTGCTGAGGTGAGGCTGCACAACAGCCCTGCTGATGCCATTTGCAAGAGCTAGCACTTAGCACCTAAGACAACCCAATGTGAACTCTTCATTCAGCTCCCCAAAACCACCCTCCGACAAGTGCCATCAGGCCCACTCAACACATGCAATGACCTCTTTTTTGCCCACGCTGGTGGCAGGTCTTTATTAGAGACAGAAAGAGAAGCAGCGCAGACGTGAGCACATTCAGTAGCTAGTCCCTGATTGCCTTCATCTTCCTTCCACCGTGAGAAATCTGCCTCAGGCATCATTCTCTTTTAATCTATCATTCCTAATGATAATATTTTTGTGCTCACTGACACACATCATCCCCACTCCACTGCCCATAGACACACATTTACGAGGGAGAGGGCGCTGGATAAATCCCTGGTTATTTATCCTCCCATTGATGCGATGACTTGCTGCAACACATCTTTCAAAATCAGCTGAACAAAGCCAGCACTGAAACTGGAGGAGGAAGATAGATTACATTAAGAAATAAACCCCAATCTGTGCCAGATGGTATTAAGAAGTTTTGTATCCAACCCACAACCCTGTCTGCAGACATAAAGGGTGCTATTTTCAGAGCCAGGCAGCAGTTTTCACACCTACTTGTGCCTGGCCCTGCCAGGCTTGTGTCTTTGCCTTTCCTCCCAGATTGTAAGCTTTTGTACTGCTCTTGTGCAAAACGACACAAATAAATCTAAAAGTAATAAAGATCAGGAGGAAAAAAATCCCCATACATTTTTACTGGTAGGTTAACACATAGGGCGAGTGTTACCTTGGGAGCTGGCACTTGCCCCTGCATGTCCAGATGGAACCTGTCCCCTGAGCATCTCCTCCATCAGGAGGTGGGTTCCCACATCATCCAGCAGCACAGAGCACAGCAGCCTTGAGCAGCATCTCCTTTGGCATCACCCCAGCCACCAGCCCCAAAGACATCCACAGTCCCAGCCAGGGAGTGAAAGCTCACACTCCTGTGCTGCTGAATCACCTCTTAAAGCCTCTTCTGAGTATGGGGTGGGCACTTAGCCATGCAGGGAATAAATCTATCGAGTTTTAGGGGCTCTCAGAGCCCAAGGGTGATGTTTCCAATTGTACCCAAGGCAGCTGGGAGCTGCTTCAGAAATGACACCAACTTCAAACACTGACTTAGGGGCCCCTAGGGGAGAAAAGGAAAAGAACTCCAAGGCATCTCTGCCCACGTTAACCCCTGAGGTCCTGGCTGTGCTTCCAGCAAACGCATCCAAACCTTCCAACCAGCCCTTGGGTGCCAGCTCCAAACCTGGGCTCTCCATGGGGACCACAGACCAGCATCTCAGCACATCCCCAGCAGGAGCCCACAACTCACCTCCGTTACTGTGACAGAGCCCACCTTGGAAATACCATATACCTCATAGCGAGCCTTCTGTTTCATCCCCAGCACGGGAGACTTTGTGCTACTGCTGCCATCACCAGCACCACAGTGGGACCACGGGATAGCCATGTTTCTGCTGAGCCCCATGGGGACCTATCCTGACACACTGCAGTAAATCTCAACTTCATGTAGCCCCAAGAGAGCCATTTCCACAAAACTCCATTAATTTCCATAGCCAAAACAGTTTTCCCTCATCATATAGTTACTTTAAACCCTTTATTTTCCAAGGCAGCCTCTGGAGTGCCACCACACTTCCAGGTGGGTAACTCAGCAAGAGAGAAGGAGCTTTCCATCATACACAACACCATGCCAGGCCTTTCCTTGGGACACCAGGTCTTACCACCACGTGCTGGTGCTCTAACACCAACAAATGAGGAGCACAGATTCAAGAGAAACATGGGGCTTGTCTCTGACACTGGAAGGGGTAATTGGGGATATAGGAAAGTCCAGTAAAAGCAAAAAACATCATGAAGCACCCAAAGGTCTTCAACTCTTGTTTCCCCCATGGTCAACGATAGGAAAACCACCAGAAAGAGCTCCAATGGCAAAATTAAATGCTTCCAGAACTCTCACCCTACTTCATTTTGCAGCGACAAAGCTGCACAAAGCCTCGTTTTGTGCAGTGACCAAACCCAACCAGATCTTGGTACAAATCAATGTGCTGTGTCACTACTTACCCTCGGGCCGATGTCCCCTGCTTCACCCTGTGCATCAGGCAAAACAGCAAGGGTCAGCTATTAGAGTTCAGATTGCAACCACAAAGGAGCAAGCACAGGGTCAGCTGGATGCGGGAACAGCACGGAAAGGAAGTGGCAAGAGCCCTGTTGCTTAATGTATTCAAAACCAGGGAGGAGAAGGGCTCGAGACAACACAATAGGAACGATTCTGCCCTGGCAGGCGATGAAACAGATAATAAATCAGAAATAGCAGATTGTTTCCAACTCTAAGGCTCCCCTAGCAACTGCTTATGTCCTACACATGCGAGGACTAACTGCACTTGCAGTACAGAAACGACCTTCTTTGGCTGGTCTAATTTCATGGGAGGATGACATGCAAACACAGAGCGATGGAGCCCGCAGCCTTGCTCCTGAAGGAAGCTGTTTGCCACTCTCCTAACCCTTAAGGGGTCACCAGGAGCCCTACAGCATGGATGAGCTTTAAGGAGATATTGATTCCTCCCACGTTTTTGCAGTTCTTTCTGCCCTCCCCTTCCTGGGGTTTTTCCAAGAGCAACCTGAGAACCCACTGTTGTGGTTCCACATCCCAACAAACCCCAGTGGTAATGTCATGCTAGTTTATGGGGTAACCTGAACTGAATGAATTAGAGCAGGAGGAGGATTATAGAGCTGCTTCCCCAAAAGCCACACGTTAATGCAGTCTTTACCTTTTCCCCTTTTGGTCCTGGAGGTCCCTGGAAATACATGAGAAGGATCCAAGTTAAGCAATGGCAGAATAATCAATGCACATAGCATCGCTGCACTTACCAATTCACAAACCTGAGCCATGTTCACTATCATTAGGTTATACATGATTTTAAGCTACACAATGCTTCACATGAGTACCACACCACCAAAAAGCACCAATGTGGTCCTGCCTGCTTTTGCCAGGACAGGGGACCAGAGAAGGACCGGGGCAGAGCAGGCAGCGTGACAGCCGCTCACAAACACATGACCCTAAATAGATGCAAGGGGTTTCTTGAAGTATTAAATCACTTCTAGAAAAACACATGCTCAGCATATCATTACAACGATTATACATCTGTTTGAAATAAACAAGGAGGATGGGCTGCTTTCCTTGGCCTGTTTGTTGAAGACATAAGTCATCTTCCCCCTAAGCAGCTTTCTGTAAGACAGGCAGGCAGAGACACGCTGCAGCCCCAAAGAGAAGCCACAGAGCAATGCTTTGATGTGCCTGCTCTGCATCCTCCTTCCAGCACAGAAAAACACTGAACCTTGGGGGTCAGCTTGATTCATGGTGTTTGCTGAAGCTGGACCTGGTGGGATGCAGTGGGGGGAAAGTCAGCAGAGAGGCCAGCAGTGGCAGCATCCACAACCCTGTGTGGCATCCACAACCCTGCGCAGCATCCCTCCTGCTGTTTGTTTGGCTCAGAGGCAAGGCTCCTGGCCCCTTACTGTCATGGAAGAGATCACAAACAGTCTCATTTGAGTTTGCTTTCTCTATAAGATGTTCCCTGCCTCTCACTCAGAGTCCCAGTGTGCACACACAACTCACAGCAGTCCTCATCTATGTGCCTGCCATAGGGCAGTAGTGCAGGAGCCTGCTGCTGCTGTTGGGGTTTGTGCTGCTCTCCCAACATGAGGCTTTGTTAATTCAAAGCCAAACCCTGAGCACAGCAGTCTGAGCTGGTCTTTTTGCTTTTCTAATGCTTTATTCCCAGGGTTCTTCTCATTCACATTTGTCACCTTCAGAGACAGGATATAAAACCACCACTGCAGTGTACAGCTATAGCAAAACACTCAGGAACTGGCTAGAAATAAGCATCTGCACTAACTTTTTGATGGCAAAGTCTGAATGGTTCCTGCCCCTTTGAAAATCACATTTGGTTTAGGACCAGAGCTTGAAAAGATTTCACGTGGGGCCCTCTAGTGAACGTGGTGGCACAGAGTGGGATTTTGGCACATGGGTAGCAGCCATCCAGCTGAAGGAATCGGAGCTGCCTGGGGTAAAGCTGGCCTAAAACCAGCAAAGTCTGTGTTTCTGCAAAATAGGGCAGCAAAAAGAGTGGGGAACCCAAGTAACTGAAGGGCTTCCAAGCAAAAACGAAGTCAAGAAAACAGCTCATAAAGCAAAGTCCAGGCTGTTCCGCAAAGGGTTGGATGGACACCGAGCATTCCCAAGCATTTCCCACCTGGGCTTCTCTGGGGGGAAATGGACCCAACTTGGGAAGAATTACCTTTATGATAGCCCTTTTTAGTGCCAATGCATGCAACCACAATCACTGCCTGCTTCTTCCAAGGTGCTACTGGAGGTGATTTCCCCAATTTGGCCTGCCTCCAAGCCTCCACTAGCCAAGATGAGCTGACAGGTAAAGCAAAGCTCACCTCGAGCTGTGCCAGCCCTGGCTCACGATATGAACTTGCATGTGTTACAGACCATAGAATAATCTTCCTAAACACAATCTAAACAGTTACATGTGTAGTAATGAACAAGCAATAGCTGAGATTCTGCCTATGAATTGCACAGCAGTGTGAATAAGGACATGTTACATTTGGCACTCGGTGCTACTTACTGGTTTGCCATCCAAACCAAGAGGCCCCTGGAAAAGGAAGCAAAAGACAGTGTTATTAAAAACCAGAAATAGCTAAAAACCCCACTATATTACAGACATAGCAATCAGTCATGCTCTGAAAGAGGCTCTACTTGCTTATAGCGCTATCTTTGGCTATGTTACTTGTTACCTAATCCTTCATCCATGCAATCCAGCAGGAAGGTTTCACAGAAGTACAGTAAGAGGCATCAATTTGCAGAGGATGAAGGAGCGTGAAAGGAAGCAACAGGATTAGTGACAGGGGCAAGGTGACACTGCTCTAGCAATGAAACACGCCTGATTTGGTTAAACTGAGCAGATCCTGGGCCTGACTCACATCAACCTCACACCTGAACTGATCTGTTTTTTGCTAAAGGACCTGCCAAAACACTACCCTTTTACCCAAGATATAGGGATCAGCCATCTCCATCAGTCCATAAAGGTCAATCTCATCGATGGGTGTCCTGCTACAGAGGAAGGAAGGGTGCATCTGCCCCTTGGGATGATACCCGTGTGCTTGGCTCACCTGCAGGGATACAAAGCTGGAAGCACACTTGTATCTGCAGGACTAAGCACTTAGTTACTCAAGTTCTTACCCAGGGCTCCCTTCCTAGGGCTGCTGCAGGAGTGCATGGCAAATCAACATGAAAAATGGTTATTTCCCTACTATTTCTAGTAGGTAAGCCCTTACCTAACATAAAGTCACTGAACCTGTTTGGCCATAGGAAACTTTGCTTTTGAGAAAGGATGCATGTGAGGAGAGGAAGCACAAGTGCTCTAAGGCCCACGGATGAACCCAAAGCTACAGCTGGCACACTTGGGGATGAAGAGGAGCACAAAACAGTGTAAATCCCAGAACTGCACTTCCACCAATCCAAAACTGCCACCAGGGAGCTTAAAACATTTCCTCATTTAAACCCAAAGGCTCAGCCCTGCAAGCTGCTCCTGAAGAGACACAGCATGAAGGTTGTGAGTCAGCAAAGCCCTCAGACAACTGCTTCCACCTCCACGTTTCCAACATATGCTCATGTGCAGATGTGCTGGGCTGAGACATCTTCCAACGTTACAGTGCCATAAACCAGGAGGACCCACCAAAGCAAATGTAGTTTGGACCACTGGATAACACAATGATAAAGCATCAGTGTTCTGTATTTCTTAGGGAACTGACGAGGGTCAATCTTTTATAGTTTAGCTTAAATCTGTGATGGTAAAATTGAGCAAAAAGAGAAAGATGAGTAAGAGAAGCCCAATGGCAGCATTAAAAATAGCATCCTTCCAGCTTACAGTTCTGCCCATTGATAAGGAATAAATCAGCCTGCAGGGACTGTGGGGACCAGGCTTAGGGTACAAAAACCTTGAGACACAGGGTTAGGAAAAACAGGTAAATCCAGGTGGCTGAATCCTGAGCAGGGCATCGGTACCGGTGTTACAGGGACTGGGGGACCTGCATAAGAGATGTTCACCTGAAAATAAACAGGGATTTCTTCACACAGCCCAGGTCTCTGAAGTGACAGACATCAGTTATGCTGTTCACATGGTGCGCGTTGTTTCTCATAAGGGACTAGCAATACACAACTGCTACGGAGCAGTAATGAATAAATGAATGCAGGCACATCCGTTAATGAGAAGTGCTGCAGGTTGTAACCAACTACTTCTTCCCCTAACGCCCCTCTGTGCTTTATCTCACCTGAATTCCTTATGCTGCAACACCTGGGAAATGCATCAGGCCCATAGAGCTTCTTCCTGAAACTACAATGGTTTGAGGCAATTCACCTGATGCAAGTCTCTGACCTCCAGAGGACAAGATGTGGGCCCTGAGCACAGAAATCGAGCACATTGGGCTTCTCAAAGGAGTAGAATCCAGACTTTTTTTCCAATCTACAATGCCAGTTCATCAGCTTTTAGCTATTCTTGTATCGGTCCACAAAGGCGCATCCAGAAGGAAAAACAATGGCCTATTCAAAGGATGTTTGTTTGAGGGAAAGCATTTAATGCTTGAGAGAAACAATACCCATTGGGCTTTCAAAGAGGCCCTTGGCTAGCTGTGCTGCTGAATGGACAAGACTAACTCAGACTTTTAAATGTCCTGTTAGTTTGGGCTGGAGATTTAATTGACTGAGCTCTACCTCCCCAGCCAAACATCTACATGAGCAAAGGGAGGGTTTCCAGGCAGAGGACTGCATGTGTAACATAGGAGAGAGCAACTGAAATCTGGGCTTCTGACTGCCTCCAACTTTCAGGAGTATGCATGTGTTGAGACTGTTATTGTCTTTTATGCGACTTCTGCTCCATGTCATTGTAATTAAAGATGAAGCAATCTTTAGTTTATTTGATAACTAAGAAACAGGAAAACAACGTGTAACCCCCTATTCCCCGAGTCAAAAACCTCCTCTAGAGAAGTTTGCATTTTGGGGGTGATTTGGAGACAAGGGGAGGACACAAAAACCACTAGCACAGAGTGTAAGAAAAGGGTGATTTTTCTGGCCAGCCCATTCCAGCATCACAGTGGCTTCACTCTGTGCTTTTTTGGCCAGGGATGAACTTCACTCATGCCTTAACCCCGTCTCAGTTACAATCCTTTCACTCCAAATCACACACAGGGACCACACTTGACGTTATTAAATGCTCACTACATTGAGAGGGAATAAACTTTCCATTTAGGACAAACTTGATGCTTGAAAGCAAGGCAGAGAGAAAATTCAATCAACTTCCCCCCAAACATGGCTCTGACTAAAGCCATCAGTGCACCCCAAGCAGGACAGAAACCCATCGATCCTGGGTGCTTTGAGGAAGGTGACACTGATGTGGTCCCAGCTGACATCCTTCGGTGGTCATCAGAGCCCATTCCTAACTGGTAATCAACTCAGATCTCATTTTCTGACCATGTCAGAGCAGGAGGAACTGAGCTGAGTGATAACTGCAATTACTCGCCTTGGCTTTACCTCTCACAAGCTGTAACACAGGTAACATGGTGTTCCTGCAGGCAAAATGACCCAAACCATGGTGCGTCCCCACTGCCATCGCCTGGGTGAGGACACTATTTATATAATGGTACATGTTTTGATATACATTAATTGCATATTATTTAACTTTATAGTTATATAATGCTGCTGAGAATGCAGACGCATGTTGGATAAGGCACTGGGGCTACGTGATGCGCTCTTGCTGCACACCTTGGTTTGGCCACGCAACATTTCAGCTTCAGAGGAAGGGGACACATTCAGGTATGTTTTAAAACAGATTCTGGTTTTCTTTCACAGTAGAATCGCAGAAATCTTGGATCTAGCACCCAAACGTCACCTCTCATTCACCCAGCACCAAGATCAGCTGAAGGCTTGCCAACAGTTCTGAGTTCACCAAGATGGGAAGACAAGAAACTTGCAAGCTCCAATTCACGTGCAAAAGGTCTTCTAATAAGTAATAAGCATTTTCCCCATACATCCCTCAGAGCAAGCCAGGGGCAAGCCCAGCTAACTGGCCCTCTGCCTTCCTCCTCCAGTGCCATTACTGCTGCTGGCAGGGAGGTTCTTGCTTTAGCAGCATTGCAGGAGTTTAAAGGGAGGAGAACAGGCATCATTAGGACAATCCCGAGTTGGGAAATCTTCCCTCATGGTTATTTTTAATGTTTCCTGCTCTGCTAAAAATTAGCGCAGGCGTCAGAAGGAGCCCTGCAGTCAAACTTGAACAGATTCAAAGGGCTGCCTTCAATCTCTGCCTCTGTGGTTTCAAGGGATGGTAAAATCTTACACTGGAGAAAGAGGAAAGTGTCAGAACAAAAGAGCACGGCAATATTCTATCATCATTGAGCGGCGTGGGTTGGAGGCAGGGAGCAGGGACCACCCTTTCCTATAGGCTATGCTGTAAATCATCGCCAGCAGAGCAGTGTCTGCTGGCCATGAGGCTCCTCAGCGCATTGTTGTAGGAGAGAAAAGCTCTGGTGAAAGCTGTGGCCAAGCACGCGCTGCCAGAGCCATCACAAGGGAAGTGGAGAGAGGCAGCCAGGTTGCTGTGGCTCCTCTGAGCTTCCAAGAGAAAGGAAAAGGAGAGAAGAGGGATTGAGAAATGAAATGCGAGTCCTCTGAACAGTAGCTGAGAGCCACTGGTGCGAACTGCAAGTGAATTGAGTTCAAGAGATGCTCTGGATGTCACCTTGTCCCCAGCTACTGCTATCCCTTCCTCAAGTCCTTGATGGAAAAGGACCAGAAACCCTCATAAGTTTCCACTCCATCCAATAACACCTCTGCTACAGTCATCATCCACCCTCCCAAATAACAGCATTTAACTATCTGTGAAGAGACAGACTCCATATATGAAATCAGTCACAGGAGGTATTATCCCGCACGCACACTGACTGCAATGGCTCAGAGCCTGGGCCAAGTCCTTCGTGCAAGGTTCCACCAGCATCTGCCCAGACCTCTGGGGTGCCCAAAGCGAGACCCCAAAATCATGCCAGCCTGTGGCACAACACAGCATTGGAAACATTCCTACCAGAATCTGTCTTATTTAAGCATTAAGATCACTATAATCATGATAGCTTCATGCTTAACTTTATATTGCGTGGATGGTTTCACTGGACTGGGATTGCTGCACAGGAGAACAGCCATGCACTTAAAAGTATACATTTATTTTCCAGCATGAACATGATTAATAACAATTTTTGTTCAGTGTTTTCCTTTTCTTTGTTTGAAAAAAGCAATTCCAGTATTGTCCAACACAAATCCCCCTTCGGTCCATGACTGCATGCAAACCTGAAACCTCTTTCTCATTACTGGGTGATGGGCTTTCCTTCATTAAAAAAAAATCAGATAGCTCTCCAGTCCTATTATAGGCACAAAGCAGCCATGAAATTTTTTTTAATGTTTGTAAGACTAATGGTTTTAATTTCAAAAGTAATTTACTTTTGTCATCAGTGTGTTCTCCTTCCATATGGAATTACAGAATATTTGAAGAGGGAAGCTTGGCTAGCCTGGCTGTCGCACAAGGGATACAAGTCTTTTAAACCTATTTTC